GGTATAAGCCTCTGCTTTGTGTCTGTAGCTGCTGTAGGCGGGGCTTCCCTCTGGCTGTTCTGATGCCAGGGCAGGATTTGCAGGTTTGTGAGCCAGGTGTGGGCTGGCTGGAAGGGATGTGCAGCAGGCTGTGAATCATGGAGGGGGGCCTTGGAGCTGCATAGCCAGCCATTTGGGTGGAGCACCTGAAGTTTGTGAAAGTTCCCAACCTGCTCGGCAGAGTGCACCCGGACAATTTTGTCTACCTGTCCTTTTTCCTGAACAGTAAGCTCTGTGCAATCCTTGCCCCCTTAGCAGCCCTCTTGCTGTTATGAAGTCTCTCAGACTGTCTGCCTTTCTTTTTTTCCCAGAGCAACCGGATATGGATCCCTGTTTTCCACAAGTGGCTGGAATCTCAGTCTCTCCAGGTATTCTGCCTGTCTTAGCTTTCCAGCTCCCCTAATCACCAGAGCACCATGAAATGTAGGTTTGTGCTCCCAGAGCAGATCTCCAGAGCTAGGTAGGTGTTCAGCAGTCCCAGGCCTCCACTCCCTCCCTGCTGTGTTTCTCTTCCTCCCGCCGGTGAGCTGGGGTCGGGGAAGGGCTTGGGTCCTGCTGGGTCATGGCTGTGGTACATTATTCTGTTCTGTGTGGTGTATTCTTTCCTCCAGGTGTATGCAGTCTGGCGCAGCCCTCTTTCCTGTTGCTCTTTCAGGATTAGTTGTATTATGTTTTCGTATTATATGTGGTTTTAGGAGGAGGCCTCCGTCTCCCCTCTCACGCCGCCATCTTTAATCCTGCTGAGGGGTGCGTTTTTACTGTCAGCCTGTCTTCCAGAGAAGGTCACCTTAGCATCTCTGCTAGGTCCGTGCCTGACAGCAGTGTTCAGCTGAACTGCAGAAATCATCCAGACAAATTCTAAATCATTTTTTTCTGTTTCGGATCTGCTTAAAAATACTTTGTTTTAAAGTGACAAATGACCAGACTACAGAAAATACTGGCAGGAATATATTTCATCATATATGTGATCTAGGAAATTTCAGTATGAGGTGAAAATTTCAGGTGGGTCACAAAATCTGAAGTTGTTGGGAAGCTTAGACAAAATTATATATTCTAATTTGTTCTTTGTAAATTTGGTGTGCTCAGTCCATCTTGAGAGCAAGACTGGGATTTGTTTCTGTCTCAACCAATAGGAGTAAACTTAGAAATTAGTGTTTATTGAACACCTACTGTGTGTCAGGCACTATACCAGGGATGTGTATACAGAAAATAGAAAGATGGTGTCCACCCTTGATAAGCTTGTCCAGTTAGATGCCCCTATTTGAAATTTGCTTTTCTGTTCTTCCTTAAACTTTACTTTTAATTTCCCAAATAAAAGTGTGTTACTTTTTGACTCTGGCTCGGCTCACCTCCTGAAAACATTTTGGAAAACATTATCATTTGAATTGTTGCTCACTGATTTTTTTTGTACTATTGGGAGATAGAACAAACAACATGCATAACCGACTGGAGGGGTTAAGTCCCTTAAGGAATGGTGCCCTCTTCTTTCTTAAAAAATATATTTTTTTCTGCTCATACCTTACTTTGAACCTCATGAGTTTGTTCAGTACATTTTAGGTTATATCTTATTGAAGAGTTTCCGAGCTCAGGTATCAGGTTTCTCACCCTCCACACCAAACCAGTAACGTCCTCTGTTTCAGAACATGGTGTCCTGCTTTGGTGTGATGTCAAAGCTAGTGGAATAGACAGCACACAGAAGCACTGTGCAGCTTTTAATGTCTTCAATTAACCTTGGCTGCCCTTTGAGAGGAGCCTCGTTGATGTTAATGCTGCTAGGATGATACTGATTTTAAAATAGTAGTGCAGAGTAAAGGGCTGACATCATTAGCTAAAGGTAAAAACAAAGCCTGGGTAGTGTTGAATGAAAACAGAAATGTTCACTACTAATAGCTGTTTTAAGTCAGGATGCCCAAGGCATAAGTGGTGGTGGGGAGACCTGGCCACTTCTTGTTTGGGGTGAGGCATGGTTGCAGTGAGTCATTGTGCCAGAAAAGGAGCAGGATTAAGCCAGCTGTTTCTATTACAGGCTGCTTGGCATCTCGGGGCTTGAAGCCAGAGGTACTGACTCAAGTCTAGTGTCCTACTCTGGGAGAGTACTGACACTGAAAAATCTTGAATACTGATGGACATAGCCCCTTGTCTTTTAAAGACCTCCAGGAAAGGTGCTTTCCATGCTTTGTCCCAGAAGCTCTTCCACACACCCCAGGGCAGAGTTACTCCCCCTCTCTCTGTTGTGTTAGTGTTATTAGCACTTTGCCCCTTCTATCTGATACCTGTCAAGAAGTACCACCTTCCTTGACAAAAGGAAAAGTCCAGATGCTCCTGTGTTTGTACTGAAAAGATGCCCCTTCGGATCTTTGCTGATTATTGCTGCCACCAAGATAGGCCTAAGGGCAGTTGAGAAAGGCTGCACTGTTTAAGAAACCAGCATTAAAGTCTAGAGAATAACAATATTATGGCTCTGGATCATTGGTTCTATAGGTTTAATGCATTTAGAACTATCTCACAGAAATTGTACCTGTGAGGTCTGGGGTGGAACTTAGTCTGTGGTCCTGATCAAGGTGGCTCTGGGATCCCAGTTTGAGAAGCTCAGCTCAGGATAGATAATTGCTTTACGAAGCACAACTTGTGCTTGGAGCTGGCATGCCCATACCATCTACTGCCAGAAAGCAGCAGCGCACTTGTCTGGACTTCTCCCTGTTCGTTCTCAGTTGGCCAGAACTGAGGGACACCGTAATTGATGTCCACTTTCCCGTGGGACACCGAGCCATGCCTTAAGGGTCTGAGGCCACCCTTGGATCTACCCGAGGTCTGCCCCTCAGCGTCTCTGTCTTCTCTGAGGACCTGCCCCCATCCCACATTAAGTCTCACTGCGTCAGAATCAACAGAGAAACCTAGAACATCTTGCACTTCTCATTTCACAACTCCTCATTGGAACACTTTCCTTCTATTAGACAATGAGTGTAGAATTTAAGAATTTCTGACAGTTCATGGACCAAATTCTAAAATTGTCTTCTGTTGGTAATTTGGTTTATAAGAGAGACCTTGCCGTAGGCATGCTTTTCTCCTATGCATTGATTTGCTGCAGACTTGCTGAAGTACCATGCGGCCACCTGCCAGTTGAAGCAGCTTGTTTAGTGTCTAGGATGGGATGTTAATGCTTTTAAAAGACTAAACCATTTTTAAGTTAGTTACACTTCATGTTAACATACTGAGTTCAGTCCTTAGCTCCATTATAATCATTCTTATATACCAGTTAGAAATTGCTAGTAACATCCATCTATGAACCACAGTATGAGTTTTAATGTTGATTTGGTGTTGCATTTTGGGCTCCTTACCACTAAGTGCCACAATGGCTTCAGAGACAGCTGTTCCTCTCTCAGACAATAAATAGTAAATGTGCCCAACTCTTTGAGGGCGCCTTGGGCTCTGAGGACCCTGGAGAACTGGGTGAAACCAGAGGCAAATATGACCCTGGAGACTTGCTGGAACAAGAAAGTCTTCCAAACTCCAGGCTGGAGTCAAGTTAACTTGAGCAACATTATGATGATGGCACAGTTCTCGTTACTGTTAACCTCTTATTTGTTTGTTTTCTAACCAATTATTCACCCACATGTTGACCTCTACTCTCAGCACATTAGAGTCACCAGGGGTGGGTCCTTGCATAGGTATCTTTTAAAGCCCCCAGGTGATTATAAGGTGCAGCTAGGCCTGAGAAACAGCTCTAGCAGGAGGCTTTGCTCCCTATAACACACTGCTTCTCTGCTTGCCCTACTGGGCATTCTTAAGGCCAGTCTTGAAAATTTGTACCTCAGGGAGAATTGATAAGAAAAAGATGAGATGAGAGAGACACAATGAGAGGGCCGAAGGCCTTGAAAATACAAGCCTCCTATTTTTTCTACCTTTTGACCAGTTATTCTTGGCGTAGGGCTGGGGGAGGCCATGGAGGGACTGTGGTGTCTTGGGGATAAAGGCTGCCTTTGAGGGTCCAGAGGGGCAATGCAGCAATCGTGGGGCTGTATCTGACCTGCAGATATATTTTGTTTGGTCTGCAGTATGGTTGCACATGGCAATTAAAAAAAAATGTGAATGCCATTCTCTGCAAGCCAGATTTCACATAAAAGCGTTTTTTAAAGCATTGATGGTTTGACAGGTGACTTGGTGCTAAATCAAACACTGCACTTTGAGTGTGGGTTCATCAATTCTCTTTCAGCCAAGTTACTCCATTCATGAACGTAATGACTAAACGAAACATGGTTTTAAAACTTTTCTGATTTTGGTTTCAGCATTTGAGAAAAAGATGTTCCCATCCAGAGTTACTGTATATTAAATCCTTCTGCTCCTTCACTGAGGCCTTCCAAGGCTGGGCTAGAATGATAGTCTGGCTTGAGAGAGAGCAATCCTGGGATTAGTCTGGATTTTGCTGTGGAATGTAGGGTTATCTCTTAATTTCTTTGGTTCTGAGTGTCCTCATCTCTGGGGAACAAGATCAAATAATTACTAAGATTCTACTTCCGGCTTCTTGGGATAGAATGGGGACAACTTCGTTTAAGAGCAGCCTGTGTGTAAAGGTGAGGAAACTTGAAGTCGGGGTGTAGAAGGTCAGCACTGAAATTCTAGCCTGGAGAAGTCAGGGAGGCCTGAGAGAGAAGAGCTGGAAGTAAGAGGGAGAAGCCACAGTGACACAAGGGTTCCAACCATGCAAACTGGCCAAAGAGAACGGGTGGTCTTGGAAGGAAGGGAGTGCTCCGTTACTGGAGATGTGCACCCCAGTCCGGGCGGCTACTTGGAGGGCCTATTGGAGGGAGCAAAGGGCAGGCAAGTCCCTTCCCAATATTCAGATAATGGGAGGGAACCAGGGAGCCCCTCTTCCATCTCCTGTCCTTCAAAGAAAACAGTGTGGCTGGCTAGGTGACTCTCTGCCCACAGAATGGGTTATCAGCGCTTTGGTTGTTTTTAAGCACCGTATTTTTTTTTTTAATTTCTTAAAAATATTTACGACAGTAAAGGTCGTATTGGACGGGGACAAATGCCATTGACATATCCCCCTTTCACTGCTACCTCAAAACAAGGTTAAGGCATAAATTACTCCAATGGGCACCAGGCATCCCTCTTGTCCTCGGGGCTCTACCCCTGGACTTGTCCCATGGGCCAGCTGGTCAGCTCTTCGCCACCGAGGTTGCACAGGCCCAGGGGTCCCTGCACCAGCTTTATTCACTTCATGTCAGAGAGGACCCCTTGGCGCTGCAGAGCCTGCCATGCACTAGTGGGCGGATGGGAGGCTGTGTGCGTAGGCTCACGCGTGTGCAGGGAGGCTGTGGTGCAGGGAGGGAGGATCCCCACCCCTGCCTTGCTGCCCACCCTGCATCCAGGCCGGCGGGTCATGGCAGGCTGCTGGGAAGGCCACCTGGGAATGCTGAGCCCCAGGGTTTGCATCATCCCCATGATCTCGCAAGGTACCCGGGAACAAAAGTGGCGTGGAGGGGTGGCAGCGGGGGCTGCGGAGGGGCCTGTGCCGGTGGAGGTCAGCGTGAGCTGCCTCCCCAGCTGGTGGTGGCGCCCCGTATTAGTATCCTGGGTCCCACTGTCCATCTGTCAGATCTCCACGCCCCAGAGCCTTTTCTCACACCTAGGCAGCAGCTCACCACCTAACCCTTAGGTCGGGTTCACTCAGGTGGGCGTGACTCAGGGCCTTCGGCAGCAGGGGTGGGAGGACAGGACGGAATTCTGCGGGCCCACTGGGTCCTGTTGAAACTAGAGGCCTGGGGTGTGCAGAGTGGGTTTGCATTTGCAGTCTTCCTCTCTGGGGTTCTTCTGAGGGTAGGGATTCCTAGCACCTTAGTGGCTGGGGCAGCAAACCTCCCCACAGAACCTGGGGAAGGAAGGCTTTGGGCTGTGCCTTGGAGGGGCTGCCCCTTTAAATCCCTAGGGTTCTGTGTTGGAGGTGTCTTCGCCTCCCAGTAGAGCAGTCCCTCCTAAAACTGGTCTGAGTTCCCTTCAGAGGGAGCAGGCTCTGTCCATCTCTCAGGAGATGAGATCAAGTGCAAAGCGAGCTGGCGGTCCTCTCCACGCCAGCTCGGTGGGCCGTGGGCCAGGGCCTGCACCCTGCCTGGCCCTGCCTCCTGGCCCCCATCAGCTCGCAGCCTCCTCTGGAGCTTCACTCCAGCGCTTTGGGGGTGGAATCCAGGCTGGGCTCCCTCCTGCGCTGGGCACTTTTAAAGAAGCCAAGCTGTGGGGAGGCAAGGGGAGAAGTCTTAGGGATGGGCAGGGTGGACGAGGCCCGCCTTCCCTCCCTGCTCTCCCCGAACCAACCCTCCTAAAGCTTCCCTCTGAAGCCTTCCCTGAATACCCCCACTAATCCGCGGACCCTCAGAACTCCCTTGGTGAGCCACACAATGGACCACTTAGGTTACGGGGCTGGAATGGAATTGATGGAGCCTGTGTCAGGGGGCCAGAAGTGTGCTGTGTGACCCTGCCCCAGCCAGTACCACTCTCTGGGCCTCCCTCACCTCAGGTTGAGACCAAGGATTCTAACCTGAGGCCCAGAGACAAAGAGGGCTTTGGTGGGGGTGTTGTTAACATCCTGACCTTGCTGGAGAAATTTCATGGTTGTCTGTACTCGTTCTTTTTCTGATAATTAGCCATAGGCTGAGTGCCCTCTGGTGGTCCTAGTCAATAGGCCTGCTGTGGTGAGGGTGCTCAGGTAGCAGGTCAGTTTCGGAGAGGAGGCTGGGTGGGTGCCAGCTCCCCTGGGGAGGAGAATGTGGGGACTGGCCCCAGAGCCCAGAGGCTGGAACCCCCAGCCTGGGCCAACCAGCCAGGCTGCTGCTCCCCAGCCCCATCCTTTAGGGGACCTCACCTTCCACAGTGCCAGGACCAGCAGGGCCAGCAGCAGGAGGCCCCCCAGTGTGCTGCCCAGGATGATCCAGATGGGGATCTGTGAGTCTTCCTGCTTGGAGATCTCAAATGTGATCTGCACGGGGAGGGAGGGGGCCAGGTCAGCAGCACTACTGTCCTGGGGCCCGGGGGGCAGCCCGAGGAAGGACACAGCTGGCACCTGGTGGGAGAGCTGCATCCCTTCCCCAGGGAGATGTTGGAGGGACGGGCGGTGCCCAGCCTCAGAGCTCCCGGCCCCTGCACAGGGGACACCTGAGTTAAGCCCCCCAGGCGACCCTGCCTCCTCTTGTGAGCCACTTTCTGCCTTTGGCTTCGGGCCGCCCCATGCTCCCTGCACAAGGCCCACACTCCCTGCACGCTCCTTCTGCCGGGGCAGACTGTTCTTTCTTGTTTCCTCTGATGTGACCTCATTGTCTCCCAGACTTCGAACTGCTGGTGTTCTGTCTTTGCACCTCTTTATCCACAGTCACTCCCTGGTAACTCAGGACTTACCCCACAGGCTTGGTGGGCATGGTGCCCAGGGCCCACAGTACTTTTTAGGAGCCCATGAAAATGTTCTAACTTCTTTTAAAATTAGGAGAAAAAAATGAATACAGTCTTACCTGGACTATATTTGTCTTTATACAGACATGGTCCTAAAATAATAATTGAACATTTTTATGGAGGAAAGGTCCCCAGAGGTAAAAGCGCGCAGGCTGTGGAAGTTCCGATGCATCCCTGGACAGACTCAGTCGTAGGGCTCTCACCGTCCCCACGCCGACTGCCCCCCTGTGCCTGCCTTCTCCCTGGGCTTCCCACTGAATTGCAGACTCATATCCAACTGCCCAATTGGCCTGCCTGGCATCTTTAGGAGGCTCCAAGACAAATCTTGATCCCACTCCTCCCTCTCAAACCTGTTCCTTCGAAGTCTTCCCCATCAGGGCAAATGGCGGCAGTGTCCTTCCCTGCCCACTCAGGCCAAGACACCTTGTCTTTGTCACTGGGTTCTTGATTTCACACCCATGGGCACTCCAGCGGAGTCTGTCTCTCTGCCTTAGAAAGGCCAGAATGTGGCCACCCCTCCCACCCCCAGGGCGATCTCCTTGGACTGAGCACCCTCATTTCCATCTGGATTGCTGACTGACTGCCTCGCCCCACAGTCAGTTCTTGGCTTGGCAGCCAGAGAAGGCAGATTCACACGCCGTCCTGTTCAGAGCCCCTGTGTCTTCCCATGTCGCTCAGAGACAAAAATAGAGTCCTTGCCCCGGCCTGCAAGGTCCCTCGCCCACTGGCCCTGCTTACCTCGCTGCTCTCATCTCCCGCTCTTCCCTGGCTCTCTGTGCCCCAGCTTGCCAGCATCTGGCCTCCAACATGCCAAGCACATGCCTGGTCATAGGGCCCTTGCATCACTGTTCAATCTGCCAGCAGGGCTTTCCCCCCAGATAGCCATGTAACACCCCAGTGTTCCTCTTAATCTCTGTCTGATGTTGCTTTATTGGAGAGACTTTTCTCAATCTCCCTGCATAACTTAGCACCCCTGAGTCTCCACCCATTATGTGCCGTGTTTTTCTGGGCAGATCTTATCACCACTTGACATTGTATATCTTTCTGTTTATTGCTTTTCTTCCCATCTAGAATGTCAGCTCCAGGACATCCTACCAGGGGCTTTATCTGTTTTGTTCATGGCTCTGTCCTGAGTGCCTGGAGCAGTGCCTGGGGACAGTAGGAGCTCAGTCAGTGAGTTGACTGACTGAACAAATGAACCGCTGGGGCAGCATGGTAGAGTCCTGGCTCTGCCACTGGCCCACTGCTCGCTTGAGGCAAGGCACTGCTACCCTTCTGCTTTATCTCACATAGCCTCAGTTTCCAAATCTGAAAAACAGGGATTGGGTGTAAACCTCAGAGTGCTGCCAGGAGCGGAGAAGATGACACTGAAGTGTCTGTTACAGGACCAGGCACGTAGTTAGGGCCACCATGGGGCAGGTCCCACACATACTCTCTTCCCAACCATGAGGGCTGCGACTTGCTCTCCTTCCCACCCTTGGCACCCAGCACAGAGCCAAGCCAACAAGGGCTTATGTTTTGGGTTGCTGGGGTTCCAAAAGTGAGGTATCTAGGGAGTATAAGAGGGATTTTTCTGGTGGTAGTGGGGGAGTAAAAGACCCATGTAGAAAGAGGGGTAGTTTGTGCATGTGTGTGGGTGCCTATGCCGTGCATGCCTCTTCTCTCTTGGTTGCCTGGAGAGTTGCAACGTACTTCGCAAGAGTCAGTTCAAGTGGACTGTCTCCAGAAAGCTTTCCCTAGACATTCCTTCCTCTGACTGCCCTCCAACCCCAGCAGCTGTGCTCACCCCAGATCACACCCATGCTTTGTTTTCCTCATCCCCTCGTCTGCCCAGTTCATCTCTGGGTGGCCTGAGTGACAGGAGGAAAACACGCTGAATGAATGAGCAAATAAAACTGCTTCTTAGGAGGGTTCCGGAGGGCTGTTCTGGGCTCCTGCACCTGCTGTCCCTCTGTCTGTTTTCCCACCACCCTGTTCGTGGTTGATATTTGTGGGTTTTATTAAGGTCGGGCTCCCTGACCAGGCCTGTTTGCTCTCCAGTGTCTCCTGGGGTGGGGCTGGCGTTAACTGGGCGTGTAGTACAGGAAAGCTCGTTGGGAGCCCAGGCTGAGGTTTGGGGACATGACCAGCGGAGGGCAGCAGTGGTCCATGCCAGAGGTGCCTGTCTCTTTCCAGGGGACTGGACTTTTCTTGGAGACCCAACTTCTCATTTTCCCAGGAGAGCACCGCATGGAGCCTCACCCCTTTCCTGGACCACGATTCAAGCCAATCTGATCTGCTAAAGTCTGGTTTTACCCAATTCAAAAAGAGTCTCAGTACACGGACATCTCCTATCCCTTGATCTTTACAAATTCAGTTCACACCAGACTTCTAAAGCACATGCCATGTGCATTCCATTAGATTTGTGGTGTGAATGGATGGGGAGGAGAGGGGTGGGGTGGGGACTCTAGGCTGCCAGCCTGCCTAAGATGCAGCCCCACTGCTGGCAGAGCCAATCAGTGAGCCACCCCAAGTCCTGTGGGCTGGTGCTCCAGGTTGTTTCCTTTAGTGCAGAATACTCAGGCTCCCCTCCTTCCTCTGCCTCTGTGGGGCTGCTTTGCTGCAGAGCCTGGGGCCCCCAGCCCTGGGCAAATGCCTGCTTCTGGCCGCCTTCCCACTTCTGCCCTGAATGCCTATTTGTCTTGCTTTGTCCTCTCCTCTGATGCTGAACTAAGTGCAGGCAGACCTGTCCATCTCTCTCCTGCAGGATCACATGGGCAGAAGGTGTAGGGAGACTCTAGGGGAGGGGAAGGGGCAGCCCCTTCCCAGGCTGGCTGGCCCAAGGCTGGGTCTGTGGGGTTCCCAGGGGCTCACCTGGCGGCTGGGATCCTCTTCGCGGAAGATGAAAGGACTATGGAACTGCCTCTGCAAGGCTGCATTGATAGTGACTTTCATCAGCTTGTACTTGAGCTGTACAATGAGAGGCCTTGTCAGAGGCCGGCCCCTCCCCAGGCGGGAGACTCCCGACACTCACCCCTTTCCCTTTCCTCCTTCCAGCCTAGCCCAGGTGCTCTACTTACTGCTTTTAGGGACCTCAGCCACAGGTTCCCCAGCAGGTGGAAACTGATTTCCTGGTTGGGGGCCAGCCTCACGTTGCAGTTAATGGAGACTACATCAGAGTTGCTGTGGTTCTAAAAGAGAAGGAGGGTCTCGGGGGTGAGCACCCGGGCTCTGGGGAGCAGGGGGAGGCAGCTAGCCTAGCCATGACCTGAGAGGTAAGCAGGGGCTTGGGCCTCCAGAGAGATGGCTCAGCTGCACTTCTTTAGCAAGTGGGATGAGCAGGGGACAGGAGAGAGGTGGGGAGTGGGGGACACATGGCTTGGGGCAGCCAGGGGGTGGCTGGAGGACAAGGTAAGGACAAGGTATATCTGATGCTCCTTTTGAAGTTGTGCATAGTTGGGTATATTCCAGGAACAGAACTTTGGTTAACATTAGGGAACCTATAAATGTTATCACCATACAGACAGATTAAAGGGGAAAGTGGTATGATTACTGCAACAGATGCAGAGAAAGCATTTTAGGAAATCCAGCTTCTGTTTATGATAAAAACTCCAAGGGAACTTCCTGTATCTAAATAAAGGGTGTTTATAAAACACCTATGGCAAGTGTCATATTTAATAATGAAAAATTAAAAATTATTCCTTTAAAGTCAGGATCAAGACAAGACTGTCATCATTTCTATTTACCATTAACCTGGTCTTAACCAGAGAAATAAAATGAGAAAAACAATTTTTAAGGATTGAATGCGAAAGCTAATACTATTATTGTTTGCAGGTGATACCATCTTAATAGAAAACCCAAACAGATCGTGGAATAATTACAAGTTACTAGGGAAAAGGTATTTGTGTCACTCTTCGGAGCCAGGCGTTGAGTGGAGTGCTCCTACCTCAGTAAAGCACTCAGAAGGTGCTTTGTGTGAGGCACTTGTTTGGGGAAATAAAACTGAAACAGCTAAGATTTTTGTCTGGGTACGGGGAGTGAAAGCACGCTTGGCACCTGTCATCTGGGGACTGAGCAGCCGTGGGCACATGAGCCCAGCAAGTAGCAGGTGTCCCAGGGAGGCGTTGGGAGGTGAAGCTGAGCCGCCCTTCTTTCCGGGGCAGGGGGGCCCCAGCGGACAGGCATGTGGTTCCGCCTCTGTAGGCTGCTCCTCCGGCTCCTTCCCCCTCCCCATCCCTCTCCTGGCTCTGCCCGGCCCAGGTGCACACCCACTGTCCCTGTTCCTTTACTGGGGGCCATCTGCTCCCACTGTCACTCTGCTGACACCTCCCGCAGGCTTGTTCCCTGGCCTCACTCTTGTGTCTCCTGCCAGATGCTTTGCTTGCTAAGGGCAACAAGTATCTTTTCCTCATGCTGTTACCTCTTGGTTCGAGGGTGGGCACCTATAGGTGCATGATAACTTCTTACTGACAAATACTGTCTGAGGAGAGGAAAGGCCCCTGGAACTAGGGCAGTGCTTGTCCTCCCAGTGCCCATGGCCGTGCTACGGGGACCCTCACCAGATGTGGGGCTCGGCGCAAGTCCTCCTCCACTGGGGCATGCCGGTACTCGGTGCTGTTCCCCCAGATGTTACAGGACGTGTTCACCTGCGTAAGGGACAAACACAGCCGGCCGCGCAAGAGCACGGGTGCCCTCAGCTCCTAGGGACTCCTTCCTCCTCTCCCCAGGGAAAGCCTGGTGGCCCCGGCCCTGGGCAAAGGAGCCGAGGTCTGAGGATCGGGGACATACCCAGGGGAATGTGGGTCTCTTTCTGGCCCCCTTCCCTAGGCCAGCTCTTGAGGGCGTGGGTACCTGCTCGGTGAGGAAGTCCCTCAGCATCAGCAGGCGGTTGCCGCCCCTGGTGGCGATGGGAATGGTGATCTTCACTGTCACCCCGTGGATGGGGAACAAGCCCAAGTTTTGGATCTGTGGCCGGAGAGGGGAGGTGTCAGTACACCCAGCAGCAGTTGGGGGTGTGGAGGACAAGGTCCAAAGGGACAATCCCCCAGCCAGGCCTGGGAACTTCAGGGCCCCTGGCATGTTCCTTGTAGGAGCTCTAAGGCTCTGCCGAATCATGGCTGGGGTGCTGCGCAGTGACATTTTGTAAAAGCTCTGAAGGAAGGTGGGCTCCTGGGAGCAGAGGACCAGTCAGTGGGGGCAGGAGCAGGAGGGCAAGGTCACTTCCATCTTCAACCTCCTGTGGCTGTGGGGATTTTGTGGCCTGGTGCTGGAGCACCCTGGACTTCTTTATGGGAGAGAATAAACCCCAATGCATTTAGACCAAAAAAACACAAATTATAGGCAGCCACACTTTATCTTCACTGATACATCTTCCCAGTCCAGCCCTTATTTTCTGCATGAGGACTGAAAGGCCCAGAGATGGGAAGGGACTTGCCTGAAGTCACACAATGAGTGGGTGACGGGGGTGAAGCTGAACCCCAGGCACTAGTAATGATTCCAGATTCCTCCCCTCCCAAGTGCGGGAGCCACAGCCGTGTCCGTCCCTCTCTGCCTGGCTCCCCTCCAGCCTTACCTTGAAAACACAGTTGAAGGGAGGCCCAATGCTGTCTTGACTCTCCAGTGAGCTACTGGGCTTGACCTCATAGTGGCTCGGGCTGCTGCTCCTGCAGGGACAGAGGACAGGGCCACCGTGAGCTCAGTCAGTGTTGGCCAAATGGATGAATGAATGAAAGAGGGTGTGGGCATGTGCCTGTCTCCCACTAGACCATAGAAATAGGTTTCCTCTTGTGTCCATTGGGAGTGCTGTGTTGGGAAGGATTCTGAGGCTCAGCAGGCATGGATGCTGAGATCAGTCAGCAGCATCTGCCTCCGGTGCGGGGTGGGCACGAATAAGAGTCAGTTCTTTGGCACCCCAGCCCTAGCTTCTGCCCAGGGGCATGGCCTCTTTGGAGCATGAATCTGTCCCCTATGCACCATTCCAGTCTCCACTGGTGGCCATGGAGGGCCTGAACTTTCTGTGTGTTGGCTGTTACATCCTGACTTTTCCAATTGCCTGGGAGCTCTTAGAGGACAGATGGGGGGGCCAGTGGCATACCAAGGGGAGTGGACGCTGGCAACAGCCTGCCAAGTGTGGAGTCTCACTGGCACTGTTTAGAACTGCTGGTGCAAGGTGGTAATGAAAAGCAGATGGACTTTCAGTAGGTTTTTATTACTATTCTAAAATTCTCTCCAGACCAGGTCCCCACTTATTGCCTGGACCTGGGGTGGATGCCTCCGGATGTCTGGCTCTCCCCGTCCGGCCTGCTGGGAGCTCCGTATTTGATACCACTTCCCCACCACAGACGAGGGGGCTGCACCCTGACCCCGCAGGGACACACTTGGCTCCATCTCACGTGCCCTCAGCCCGGGACCCGGCCACCGGGACCTCCAGCTCTGATGGGGCCCGAGAAGGCGCCCATCCTGCTGGTGCATCACCCCTCCCATGCCTCCCCCCCGGGGCCCAGGGCCACAGCCCACCTGGTGAAGAGGATGTCAGCCTCATATTTGAGGTGGAAGCGCAGGAGGGCCGTGTTATCTCCCTTGGTGCTCTCGTCCTCGTCACTGTCACTGCGAGGAGAGCCAGGCAGTGGTCAGGAGGGGCCGGCCTGCCCTCTGCCCTGCTCAGCGGGCTCATCCGGATGGCCCTCTGCAGCAGGAGGGCCCTGGGTCAGACTGACAGGGCACATCCTGGCTCTTCTGGGGCAGCCGCAAGGGGACCTGAGGTGTGTGCTGGGAGGGGGCAGGCCAAGAGGGGCAGGGGGACTGCTGGGGAGTGACCTGAGCTTCCCTGGGGCCTATCGGGCGCCAGGCGCCTGGGCTGGCTTCGGAGGGGAGGGTGGGGCTGGCTCAGCCACCAACTGCCTGTGTGTCCTCCGTGCTGGCCTCCTCATCCACAGACGGCAGGCCTGTGCTGTGGGCCCGAAGGCAGAAGGTGCCCATGGGAGAAGGGCTACAGCTCCACCCCGGGGAAAGGAGAGTCAGTGAGGGCTTCGCAGTAGCAGAGTTTATTTGCCCCTGAGCGCCCCCCCTGAGCTGACTGTGAGGCGGCTCCCACAGGTTGGCTCATTGGAGGGAGGTTTGTCAAATACGTTTCCATTTGTATCTGAGACTCTGCCCTACCACGGGCAAATCATTTTAGACATACAAATATATGATGTCTGCTTGTTACACACACTGAGTTTTATTTTCTTTGGAAGACTTACCCAAGATAGGTGATAAGTTAGAAAAGGGATACCGGACAGGCACAGATGCCCCAGCGACCCCCTCAGGACACGCCTAATTCACCCCCTGGGGTCAGAGGCAGGATGATGCAAGTGCATTCATTTTCCCGTGAGAAGAGGACTGATTGTGTCTTCTGGGAGCAGGGAAGAGCATGGGGAGGCCTTAAGATGTCAGTGCATCTTACAAACTTTGTCCCATGTCAAGTTCAAATGAGAAAGTCAGCAAAATGCACAATTTGTTTATAGCCAGGATGATCCCCAGTGCTTCCCGAACCACTGACACGTGTGTGCGCACGTGTGTTGGAATGCTGGTGTTCCAGGGGCCTGCGGGATTTATGTCTCAGTGCGGAGAAGTTCTCAGGAGGCCTCACAAGGCTCCAGAATAGCCGGAGGCCCTCCCAACCCCCAGTGCGTTTACTGCCGACTAGGGGTGACTCACGGTGTCAACCTACAGGAAGGTATCTCAGGAGGGCTGGGAGACAGAAAGACAGACGGACCTGCACAGAATAAGGGAGGGCTTTTAGAAATGGAAAAATGTCTGAAGGGAGACAGGATAACATGACAGAAAGAGCAGGGATAAGGAGTAGGACAACCAGTGCTCAGGTCTCAGATGTATTACTGTTTACATGCTGTGTGTTGGGAAATGCACTCAACCTCTCTGAGCCTTTTTTTTCTTTCCTGTAACTTGGGAGGAAGGGGAAATAGCCCCTGCTTTGCCTATTTTAAGGGTCTGCTGTGAGGAATGACTGAGGTATTTTAGGTACAGTGTTCTGTAAAGTGCTATATAAAGGTAAGGGTGGTATTACATATATTCCAGCTGCCCAAGAATGAAGGACTATGGCTGTGCAGCAGGCAGCAGTTTGGCCCACACTTGGGGACTGTCCCCAGGGTCTCCCAGATAGGGACAGTGTGGCACAGGGCTCGGTGGGGGAGTCAGTGTGGAGAGGTGCGGTCCCCAGCGGCAGAGGAGGACCCGGATGAGTGAGCTGGGAGGGAGGAACCGTGAGGTCCTGACCTGCCCGCTGTAAGCTGGATCTCCAGGTAGTGCGAGAAGACGGATTTGCTGAACTCGAAATCTAGACGAAAAGCCACCTGCAAGGAAGAAGTCACTGGAGCTGGGGTGGCTGGGAATGGTGCATCCAGCCATTGTGTGGACCTGACCTGGCTCACCCCTCCCAGCCGCTGCCCGCTCGTGTGGGCTCTGCTGACTGGCAACGGGTGGGGGAGGGAAGCTCAGGTGCTGGAGCCACGTGAGCCGAGCTTGGGCGCTGCTGAGGTGACAACAACTCTGATGGGGCTTCCTGGCTGTGGGGCCAGCCCTTCTCTCCCTTCTCCTTTTTTGTTTTTAACTACAGGTAGAAGACAGCAAGTCCAACTTCAGACGCTTGCTGCAGGAATTTCTGGGTGAGGGGCTTGATGGTGGGAAGGGGGCATGGCCATCACCGCATTCCACAGGCTGCAGGAGTCAGCGGCCAGTGGGAAGCCCGCCTCCTCCAGTGCTTGCTCTGCTTGTGGTGGGGACTGTGGCCAGGGGAAGGCTGAGGATTGCCTTGGGCCACCTGGCAGGTGGATATGGCCCCTGCTGCGGTGTCCAGCAGCCCCTGGCCACTCTGATGGCCCAGATCTGGAGGTGGCCCAGATCTGATAGCCCACCCTGGCAGGTGGATATGGCACCTGCTGCGGTGTCCAGCAGCCCCTAGCTGCTCTGATGGCCCAGATCTGGCGCTTCCCCTAGCCTTTGCCCAGGAGCAGGACCTGGGTGCCTTGACTATGGCCCTATGACAGCTGACCCTCTTGGCTGCCCCCGGTGCCCCACACCCCCCACTCCCAGCCACTGGGGGCATTTGCACAGACCCCTTATGCATTTCCAGGGCTGGCCCTTAGGGGGTTTCCCAAGGAGATCTGGGCCCTATTTTCCCAGGCAGCGGCTGCAGGTGGGGTGGGGAAGCTTGTGCCCTGTGCTGCTCCCCTAGGTCTTCACTCTAGAGCTCCTGGGTTTGTTAGCATAGGAAAAAATTACCAACACTTCACTGTGTCCCCTGGGGGAGGTTCCCACAAGGAGCCCGAATCCCCTTTCCCATGTCCTCCCCCACCCCAGCCTTGCAGACCCTGCTCCCAGGAGCAGACTGCTCCTCTCTAGCTGCCGCCTGCCTCAGGCTCCCCTCTGTCTGATTCCTGCTTTACAAGCAGCTTGACCGCGGTTAGGTTTCTCTTGCTTGAGAAACTTCAGGGGCTGCCCACCGCCCAGGGGTGATGGGCAAATGCCCCACAATATGGAGTTTACCACCCTTTCCTGACCAACTGGTTTCTCCCTTCACATACCCTACACTCCCTCACATGCACTTTTAAGCACATGGCAGGTGTTCAAGAGATGTGAAGTTCTTTTCCCCACCTCTCCCTAGCAGAGCACCACGACAGTGGCTGGTTGGAAGCACTTGCCATAAAGGACAGTGGGATAATTGGCCGAGCAGTGGTGGGAGGGTGGTGAGGGGAGAGGACAGGTTTCCCCAGACGTGAAGGGGCCTGGGTGCTCATGGGGCAGGGGCTGCTAGCCCTTGCGGGGGGCTGCCAGCCCTGGGGACAGTCAGGTCATCTGAATGCCATATTCTGAAAGAAAAACCTAACATACTTTAAAGCCACCCTCTGTCCTCTCATCCCTCCCCTGTTGTCCTCTGGGTTCACTCCCAGTACCCACCCTGGCCCCACCCATGCTGCCCTTAGCTTCAACCTTGGCCTTGGCCCGGAAGAAGGGGTAGCTGACGTTGCAGACTTTCCTGTGGAGTTTCCTCTCCTCGTTTACGCACTCGATGCTGCCGTCTGAGTCGTCCTGGGGGCAGGTGGGAGCAGGTGGGCCCTGGTTAGCAGGGCCGAGACCCAGGTCTTGAGGCCCCCCTCCTCCCCCAGAAAGCTGAAGTTGCAGCACAGGCCCTTGAGAGCTGGGACCCGGGGGCCCTAGAGGCTCGAGTGTGGCTTGGTTCAGGTGTTGGAAGCATGGCGGGGCCCGCTGCAGGGCTGCATGGGGTGCTGAGGGTAGGCAGTGCCTGCTCTGTCGCTCCCTCTGCAGCAACCCCTGGATGCAGGCCTTGTCATGTGCCTTACAGGTGGTAAGGAGCCAGTCAGAGCCCTAGAGTGCGGCACAGAGCTGGGATGGAAGGTTCCCGTCTCTGGCTGCTCTGCTGCCCTCTGGCTTCGCAGCCCTTTGGCGGACTGTGCATCTTCCCCTCAGAGGGATCGGAAGGGGTCTCTTTGAGTCATGAAGCGAGGTTTCCGGGCCTCGCCTGCTTTGTGACCCAGGATAACAGGGAGCAGCCTGTGCGCCGACCTCTTGGCGGGGACTGGTGGGGGACTCTGCTGAGGCTCTCTTTCGCCTCCCTCCAGGGTAGGGCCGGCGGCTGCCCCTCCACCCGGAGCTCCTCTGGAGCCTCCAGCGGACTTGCAGACGGGGCTTCCTTCTCTTTTCTTTCTCTGGGGCTCCGCCCCCTTCAAACCCTCCCACGCCTGGTTCAGGGCACTCCACAGCCGCTTTCCACTGAGGAAAGGCGGGCAGTTGAAGGGAGAAACACCACCAGGCTCCTGGGTCTGTCTGGAGTGCAGGCCTGCTGGGCTGGCACAGTGGGCCCTCATCGCAGGTCCTGAGGGAAGGGACTGTCGCCGTGACGCTGCTGGGCAGACCCTGCACTCATTTGCTAGGGATTCATTTTGCTCCTCTCTTAAATGGGGACGATAGTACCTACCTCATCTAGTTGTTACGAGGATTAAGTGATCAGTGTGTATAAATAGAGTGTGGAGTTCAATGCCCAGAACAGTGTAAGCACTCCACACACGGCCCCTATTGTTATGATGATTATTTGTACCTGCTGTGGGCTCTGCCTGGTTGGGCACCACAGGGACACATACCTGTGTACATCTTTGGGCGTGCATATGGATGTGTGGATGTAGAGGCACATCTGTGTAGACACTGTGGGTGGTGGTCTGCATGTAGGTGCACGTGTGTGCATGTGCCTGGTTGCATATGTATGGAGCATGTGTGCTTTGCTGGATGTATATGTAGGTTTGCAGGTTTTGCATGTGTATGCACAAAGTATGTTTGTATTTGGCAGAAAGGGGTGCTTTTTCCACTAGTATTTTACTTGGCCAGATTTTGGGGGAGTGGAAGGGAAACTGGAGAGGAGCTGATCTCCAGCTGTGAGCATCTCCTGGGCTGGGGGTGGACAGGGAGCATACTGTGAAGGGGCCAGGTCGCCAGTTAGCCCCACACGCCACCTATCGCGGGTATGGACACAGCCCTTTACAGAACATGTTCCCCACTCCTCTTTGCCTCCCCTCAGTTCCCAAAGCCCTTCTTTGCTGCAGAAACAGAGCCACAATTCCTCCTGCTAGGGTTATGAACAGGCACAGGATTTTAAAGTCTGGGCCAGGGAAGCAGTGAAAAGAGAACCCAGTTTGGGGGCTCAATTTCCCCTAAATACTTAAAACTCAGGCAAACACAGAGTCTCTGGGCAGGAGAAGACCTCAAAGATCTCCAGACGGGCTGCTCCCCTTCACTCAGGACAGCAAAGGGCCTGACAGGGCGACCGACAATGGGGGTTCTGTGGAGGATGTGAGCACAGAAGGGCCCCCCACCTGCCCTGCCCTGCACTCTGCACCCCACCTTGGCACTCTGAGATCCCTGAGGACAGAGACTGTGTCTGGGGGGACCTGGGATCCCCCCCGCAGCCATACATGACAACCATGTCCTAGGTTTACTAATGAACGTGTCTTGAGGGACTTGTATGTGCCCTTGTGCTCTGGGAGTTCGGGGTCACACAGGGCAGCATCAGACACCGACAACTTCCCCAGAGCATACACAGGGCGGCGCCAGAGGGCTGTGCCGGGCTGCAGGGCTGGTGTGGCCTCCTGGGGCTTGGGGAAGGCACCCCAGAGAGCGCGAGCCAGGCACTCTGCTCTGCCATGATGGTGTAGGCCCAGGAGCCGGCTGCCGGGCGGGAATCCCACTCTGCCCCTTACTAGCTGGGTGCTCCTTTTCAGGCAGCTTCACCTCTCTCTGTGCCTCAGTTTCCTCTCCTGCAAATGGTAATTGTGAAGGAACAGGAGGGGGGAGTCCCAGGCAGGGGGCTGTGGTGGGCAGCGCCTTAGTGTGAAGAGCAGGTGTGCTGGGGAACAGGGTGGCCAATGGACTACGGGTGTGGGGAGTGGGGGTGAGGGAAGAGGCAGGTGGTGGGTGGTGGGTGGAGAAGCAGGGACAGGCCTTGAATGCCACAATAAGGAGTTTGGAATTTGTGGTGAGAGCAGGTGGGAATGATGGGAAGCTTTAAAGTGGGGGGTAACTGGTTCTGACAGAAGGAGCCTTTCCAGGAAGCCTGGAAGATGCAGAGGGTGCATGTGCCCTGGTGGGCTCACACCTGGGGGGGAGGCAGTGTGTGTGTGCATGTGCCCTTAACGAAGGCCAGTAGCACAGGCTGATGGACATTCCCGCTCATGTTCCTGACAGGCTGACTCCCCTTTGCTGGTGGCCCTCAGCCATGGCTGCACCCTGAACTCGCCTGGGCGGCTTGAAAACCACACCGGTCCAGGCCCCACGTCAGACCGGAGCATTAGAACCTCCTGGAGAAGTCTGGACACAGGTATTTTTAGGTTCCCAGGTGCTTCTAATGTGCAGACAGCCAGTCTCCCTGTCTGGACCCCTCCTTTCCAGCTTCTGCCCCTCACCTCGGGCAGGCTGGGTAGGTCACCCAGGTCTTACCTTCTGGATCAAGCTGGCAAACTGCAGATTGGTTGATTGTGAAATATTTAGGACTGTGCTATAGGCGTTCTCGCCCCTGTTCTCCAGCATGGCCTCCACCGCCACCCGCCGGCGCATGCTCTCTATGATGAAAACCGTGGTGTCAAAGGACAGCGTGTATGTGGAGCAGTCCTGCACAGGCTTCCTCAGCACCCTCTGGCAGTACTCCCTGCAGGAAAGAGACCACTGGGGGTCAGGGAGATGGAGTGGCAATGCAGGGGGAGACCTCACTACTCATGTATCACTTCTCTACTCTGCGTGTTCATTCCCCTTTTGGCTTTGGCTGCCAGGAAGCTCAGGGATAAATGTAGAGGCAATCCCCATTATTAGCCTAGATGGTTAGAATATTTGCTTCTTCATCCTCCCACAAGGTTTGGACGTGCTACTTCTATTTACTGTATATGTTATGGTATATATGTCTTCTACCTAAATCATCTCATAGTTGGGTGAAAGTTGAGCATAAATTATTTGAAAATATGTTACATAAGTTTAAAATAGGATATTGTTCATTATTTTTCCTTGTGGGCTAGTTTGTTTCCTCCAGGGGACTGTGGGCACCCTGCTCCTCCTCTGCTAGTTTCCTTTGTATTGAGCTCAAGTGGACAGTCAATGGGCCTTAACGTCCACCTAGTCAGGGGGCTGGAGAACGAGCATCCTGAACTGCCGGTCCCTGGTCTCCACCTTTTACCTGTTTTGTAGTATGGGCTCTAAGGAGGGGATTCCTTTTTCTAAACAAAGTTTGAGGAAGTTGGATTAGCCCAGTCATGTTCATTTTGCACAGCAGGTACCAGAGGCCCAGAGAGGGAAGGGACTTGCCTGAGGTCACACAGGAGTTAGAAACAGAGCCTGGGCTAGACTCAGGCTTCAAGTTCAGTGTCTGATCCATACTGCCTATGAGGAGAATATTCAGGAAATAATCCAGGGCCCTGGGAACCTCAGATCCACCAGCAGGGAAGGAAAAGGAGTCAGGGGAGGAGTAGGGAGACGCCAACTCACATGGCTGTGGGCAGGTCACTGTGCGCATCCAGCAGGAGGTCGGGGACACAGTGCTCGTCCTCACTGCAGCCATTCCAGAAGGGCACCTGGGCCAGGGAGAGCCAGGAGTGGGTGGCTGGAGTGGGGACCCACAGCCTCCAGTCCTTCTTTGCTGCAGGACTTTGCTGCCACCACAGCGCACCAGCTCCTTGCTCAACCACGCTAGATGTGGGCTTTGTCCTCTCTGCCCATTTCACAGACACCACACTGCCTTTTCTCACATGTGTGCATAGACGTTCCCTTCTTTAAAATGTGGCTCAAAACTCAGCTTGTTTTGGGTCCCTTTCAGTTCTTGACTGAGCTGATAGCACACAATTCCCATTAACCTAGCAGAACAGTTCCAGCCAACATTTGTTGATCATCTACTGTGTGGGGGGCGAGGTCTTTGGTACCAGGGATATGGGATGAGGAAGACACAGCTTGTGCTCTCAGCTCATGGGGAAGATTGGTGTGTGAACAATTATAGTGTGAAATGTATAAAAAATAAAAAAGAAATCTATGAGGACTAGAAGAGGCAGAAAGGAGGAAACAGTTATTTTGGCCTGTAGATGGGTAAGAAAAGGCTTTAGGGAAATGACAGTAGGTCAGAGTTCTGAAGGACAACCAAGTTAGCTGGCTGAACCAGAAGGAGAGGGAGTGTGGGAGGAAGGGTGAACCTGTGCAAAGGTCCTGAGGTATGAAGCAGCATGATGAGCTTGAGAAATGATGGATAAGGCGTGGAGGACATGGAGAGATGGGTGAGGACAGTTCTTACAGAGCCTTGAGGTTATGCCTTGCAACTGACAGGGCTCATTGACTGTTTCAGGCATTTCAAATATGCTTTAGGCACACTTCAACCCAGATATTGAAGGCTCCCTTTGGCTGCTATGAACTGGAAGAATCAAGGCTGGAGTCAGGGAGCCCATCGAGGAGGCTGCTGCAACACTGACGCAAGAACAACAATGGTATTGATGTGGGAGTGGGTGTGGACAGAACAGGTTAGGGACCTGAGAGGTGGGATCAATGGACCTGGGCTGTGTCAGGGCTAAGGGAGCAAAGGGTCCAGGATGTTGCCCAAATTTCTTTCTTAGCATCTGGAAGAATGGCCTCACCATTCACTTACACTGAGTTCACTTTTGGGGCATGTTGAGTTCAAAGTGCCTGGAGCCCAGCCCGAGGCAAAATGCTCAGCTGGCAGTTGGGTATTCAAGTCTGGAGCTTGGTAGCAACTGTCCCTACTGAGAGTACAGCTCAACCCCAGGGGAAGGGAGGCAGGTGTCACAAAGGCCATGCATTTCTGACATTCATCAGTTTTTCTCAAAACTGAGCTCCCAGCCTCACTCATCCACTGCTTGTATTTTAGACATGTTTCTTTCCAGCACGCCCCTCAGCTTCCCATCACAGGGTGGATGGCAGCTGGAAGCAGGCACACAGCAGCCAGCAAAGAAGGCAGCAGAGCCACGTAAAGCAGGGCAAAGAGATGGTCAGTGAAGGGACAGAGTCCAAGACACGTTGGTAGCCTTCGCTGTGGGCTAGCCCCGTGTCCATCCTGGTGATTGCAAGTCTCCAAAACTCCCCCCACCCCAACCCTTGTCCAGCATACTGTTTAAGAAATGTGAAAACTGTATCATAATCTTCAGAAAAATTTCTATCCAGATGATTAAAACATTTAATTTAACGTGACAGCTGCTGTTACACTCAATTCTATATGGAACAGGTCATCCCACTAAGAAGTGGAATATTGCCGCCCTAGGACAGTGCTGGGCGCTGAGTAGGTGCTGAATAACAATTTGTAGAGGAATAATGGGAAAGAATGTTTCTAACTTGCTGAGGGATAAAAGCCCAGATTTTTAGGAATTTGGCTGCTATTCAAAGTCCTCAACACTATGCCCTAGACTGTCTTTTTCAGCTCAATTTCTCACCTCTTCTTACCTGTCTGGACCCCTCCTTTCCAGCTTCTGCCCCTCACCTCGGGCAGGCTGGGTAGGTCACCCAGGTCTTACCTTCTGGATCAAGCTGGCAAACTGCAGATTGGTTGATTGTGAAATATTTAGGACTGTGCTATAGGCATTCTCGCCCCTGTTCTCCAGCATGGCCTCCACCGCCACCCGCCGGCGCATGCTCTCTATGATGAAAACCGTGGTGTCAAAGGACAGCGTGTATGTGGAGCAGTCCTGCACAGGCTTCCTCAGCACCCTCTGGCAGTACTCCCTGCAGGAAAGAGACCACTGGGGGTCAGGGAGATGGAGTGGCAATGCAGGGGGAGACCTCACTACTCATGTATCACTTCTCTACTCTGCGTGTTCATTCCCCTTTTGGCTTTGGCTGCCAGGAAGCTCAGGGATAAATGTAGAGGCAATCCCCATTATTAGCCTAGATGGTTAGAATATTTGCTTCTTCATCCTCCCACAAGGTTTGGACGTGCTACTTCTATTTACTGTATATGTTATGGTATATATGTCTTCTACCTAAATCATCTCATAGTTGGGTGAAAGTTGAGCATAAATTATTTGAAAATATGTTACATAAGTTTAAAATAGGATATTGTTCATTATTTTTCCTTGTGGGCTAGTTTGTTTCCTCCAGGGGACTGTGGGCACCCTGCTCCTCCTCTGCTAGTTTCCTTTGTATTGAGCTCAAGTGGACAGTCAATGGGCCTTAACGTCCACCTAGTCAGGGGGCTGGAGAACGAGCATCCTGAACTGCCGGTCCCTGGTCTCCACCTTTTACCTGTTTTGTAGTATGGGCTCTAAGGAGGGGATTCCTTTTTCTAAACAAAGTTTGAGGAAGTTGGATTAGCCCAGTCATGTTCATTTTGCACAGCAGGTACCAGAGGCCCAGAGAGGGAAGGGACTTGCCTGAGGTCACACAGGAGTTAGAAACAGAGCCTGGGCTAGACTCAGGCTTCAAGTTCAGTGTCTGATCCATACTGCCTATGAGGAGAATATTCAGGAAATAATCCAGGGCCCTGGGAACCTCAGATCCACCAGCAGGGAAGGAAAAGGAGTCAGGGGAGGAGTAGGGAGACGCCAACTCACATGGCTGTGGGCAGGTCACTGTGCGCATCCAGCAGGAGGTCGGGGACACAGTGCTCGTCCTCACTGCAGCCATTCCAGAAGGGCACCTGGGCCAGGGAGAGCCAGGAGTGGGTGGCTGGAGTGGGGACCCACAGCCTCCAGTCCTTCTTTGCTGCAGGACTTTGCTGCCACCACAGCGCACCAGCTCCTTGCTCAACCACGCTAGATGTGGGCTTTGTCCTCTCTGCCCATTTCACAGACACCACACTGCCTTTTCTCACATGTGTGCATAGACGTTCCCTTCTTTAAAATGTGGCTCAAAACTCAGCTTGTTTTGGGTCCCTTTCAGTTCTTGACTGAGCTGATAGCACACAATTCCCATTAACCTAGCAGAACAGTTCCAGCCAACATTTGTTGATCATCTACTGTGTGGGGGGGCGAGGTCTTTGGTACCGGGGATATGGGATGAGGAAGACACAGCTTGTGCTCTCAGCTCATGGGGAAGATTGGTGTGTGAACAATTATAGTGTGAAATGTATAAAAAATAAAAAAGAAATCTATGAGGACTAGAAGAGGCAGAAAGGAGGAAACAGTTATTTTGGCCTGTAGATGGGTAAGAAAAGGCTTTAGGGAAATGACAGTAGGTCAGAGTTCTGAAGGACAACCAAGTTAGCTGGCTGAACCAGAAGGAGAGGGAGTGTGGGAGGAAGGGTGAACCTGTGCAAAGGTCCTGAGGTATGAAGCAGCATGATGAGCTTGAGAAATGATGGATAAGGCGTGGAGGACATGGAGAGATGGGTGAGGACAGTTCTTACAGAGCCTTGAGGTTATGCCTGGCAACTGACAGGGCTCATTGACTGTTTCAGGCATTTCAAATATGCTTTAGGCACACTTCAACCCAGATATTGAAGGCTCCCTTTGGCTGCTATGAACTGGAAGAATCAAGGCTGGAGTCAGGGAGCCCATCGAGGAGGCTGCTGCAACACTGACGCAAGAACAACAATGGTATTGATGTGGGAGTGGGTGTGGACAGAACAGGTTAGGGACCTGAGAGGTGGGATCAATGGACCTGGGCTGTGTCAGGGCTAAGGGAGCAAAGGGTCCAGGATGTTGCCCAAATTTCTTTCTTAGCATCTGGAAGAATGGCCTCACCATTCACTTACACTGAGTTCACTTTTGGGGCATGTTGAGTTCAAAGTGCCTGGAGCCCAGCCCGAGGCAAAATGCTCAGCTGGCAGTTGGGTATTCAAGTCTGGAGCTTGGTAGCAACTGTCCCTACTGAGAGTACAGCTCAACCCCAGGGGAAGGGAGGCAGGTGTCACAAAGGCCATGCATTTCTGACATTCATCAGTTTTTCTCAAAACTGAGCTCCCAGCCTCACTCATCCACTGCTTGTATTTTAGACATGTTTCTTTCCAGCACGCCCCTCAGCTTCCCATCACAGGGTGGATGGCAGCTGGAAGCAGGCACACAGCAGCCAGCAAAGAAGGCAGCAGAGCCACGTAAAGCAGGGCAAAGAGATGGTCAGTGAAGGGACAGAGTCCAAGACACGTTGGTAGCCTTCGCTGTGGGCTAGCCCCGTGTCCATCCTGGTGATTGCAAGTCTCCAAAACTCCCCCCACCCCAACCCTTGTCCAGCATACTGTTTAAGAAATGTGAAAACTGTATCATAATCTTCAGAAAAATTTCTATCCAGATGATTAAAACATTTAATTTAACGTGACAGCTGCTGTTACACTCAATTCTATATGGAACAGGTCATCCCACTAAGAAGTGGAATATTGCCGCCCTAGGACAGTGCTGGGCGCTGAGTAGGTGCTGAATAACAATTTGTAGAGGAATAATGGGAAAGAATGTTTCTAACTTGCTGAGGGATAAAAGCCCAGATTTTTAGGAATTTGGCTGCTATTCAAAGTCCTCAACACTATGCCCTAGACTGTCTTTTTCAGCTCAATTTCTCACCTCTTCTTTACACACCCCTTCACCCTGCTTTTTCCCACTTCCGTACCTTGGTCAGCAATCCTTGGAATCAAGACACAACCTCCCCATCTCTGGCTGAATGCTGTCTCTGCTTTAAGGGCCAACCAAAAGCTGCCTCCTCCAGGAAGTCCCCCATCCTACCACTGATTGCTTGGTGATATTTCCCCTGAGCTTACTCCCGTCTTCCGCCTGGCCTATGACCCCTATCACCACCCTGCTATCTGACATCATGTGTGTCAGGGCAGAGAGCATCTTGAATGTCCACCTCATCATGGGCTTCGGGGTGCCTGCAGAATGAGCCCCACATCCTCATTCATTTGCTGCAGTGGTTTTCTAATTACTGTGATGGGGAAAAAATATTAACGACTAGTGCACCCAGCTTTTCTCCTGTCCTGGCTCACTGACGGGGATTCCAGCTCTGCCAGTCCATTCTTCCCCTTCTCTTGAACCTCATATGACAGCCTCTCTTACCATTCGTGACACAGAATCCAGAGAAAAGAGGGAAGTTGTGAAAGTCAAGGGCTGGGCAGTGGAGTTTGGGAGGTCTGCGAGGGGTTTTCTGGAGGAGCTGAGGGTGATGGCGGGAGTGACTGAGGGCAGAGGGGGTTTCAGAAGGCCTGCTGTTGACTATCCAGTCCTTTTGCGCTGGAGAAATACAAGTCAGAACATAGCTGTGGGATTGCTGTTTTCTGGCAGGATTCTGTATAGTTCTCAGAGACTGGACCTCACAGGTCATGGTCTTAAAAGCACTGTCGTGTATTTTAAAGTTGTATCCTAAACCTTCAGGGTTCAGGTATTATTAGATATTCCATTTTACAGATTTTTCCCACTCTTCAGTATAGCTCAGACAGCACTGACAACTGTCTGCAGCTTTCTCTGAGTGGGCTTTGCATGGAGTCACAGATGCAGGGAGCATCTGAGTGTCGGATACCAGAAAATCCTGATGTCCCTAGAGCCAGGGGTTAGAGAAATATGCTTGGGGATGGGGTGGGACCACAGCCAATGAGGAAGCAAAGCCCCCTTATTTTGGATATTTAGGAGAAGGCTGGAGGCTTGTCTGTTAATCAGTCAGTCATTCAACAAGCTGCAGACCAATGGGCAAATGAGGAGGACGATTGGGAGGGTGACTGAGATCTAAGGCCCCTTCTGGTCCTGCAAGTCACCGGGATCTGCCCAGTGCTCACCCTACGCTGGGACATGGGAACTTCGAACAGGGGAAGGCCTGATCCTTAACCTCAACATATGGCTCAGCACGGGTCACAGGGGCGGAGGGAAGGGCCCTGGTCTGGGTGTGCTGGGTGTGGTGGGGAAGAGCTCCTCTGTACCGGGCACACTCTGGGTCTGGGCTTCTGGGAGGAGGACAGGGTGGGGGGTGCACTATGTGCCGAGTGGCAGGCCCTGCTGGCTGGGCCTACCGAGACTCTGAGGGCAGTGGGCCAGCCGTCGTCCAGCATGGGGCCGTGGTCGGGGTCCTCCAGGGAATACTCAACTGAGAAGGTCACTGGCTTCACGTAGTCAGCGGTGTCCTGTGTGGGAGGGGATAAAGACCGGGTGAGGGTCGGGGCCATCCGTTTCTGGGCCAAGATCACTGAGGCAGTGTGTGCTGCTCTAAGCAGGGTCAGTCCCGGATGGAGGAGCTGCCTGGGTGGATGGAGGTTCCCAGCGGGGTCTGTAGCTGAGGCGTGCGCCTCGTGGGAAGGGGCCTCTGGCTCTGCACATGTCAATCCAGCCACCTGGGGGTTTCACCAAGCTCCTGCTTGTCCTCCAAGGCCAGGCACCTACACCCCAGCACCTCAGCCTCCAGGGAGCCAGGGAGCACTGGCCACCCGCCCCTTACCCCATCTGCACACTCTGTCCACACCTGTCACTCCCACTCCTCACATGGCCTTTGAACTATTGCACTGTGTCTGTCTGCCTTCCTGAGAAGTCTCAGTCCTAGCACTGTGACAAAGGCTTCACAAATGTGTTGAATCATTGAATGGACAAACATGTGAACATAGTACGGGGTGACTGAGGTTGGTCCATGTATACATGGCAAAGAAGGGGATTTAAAAAAACACCTAAAACCTCCCCCATGGGCCCTAAATCCTGGCCTGAGTGGCTCCTTTGTATTAAGGCAGTGGCTCTCATACTTGAGCTTGCATCAGAATTCCCAGGAGGGCCTATTAAAATGCCGAGCACTAAGTCCCACCTCCTGGAGTTTCTGATTCAGTGAGTCTGGGATGTGGCTTGAAAACGTGCATTTCTAGGAGGTTCCTGGGTGGCAGGGATGCTGCTGGCCCAGAAGGCCATGCTTCCAAGCTCACCAAGACGTGGAAGCTGATCCGCTCACAGTGTTCCTGGCCGGAGGAGAGCAGGACAGCCCTGTTAGTGTATCGGTCCCCGCCCTCATCCAGGTGTGCCCGTGGCGTGTACCGCCTCTCATCCATGGTGATGTTGTACCTGATGCCTAGAGGAGGGAGAGGGCACGATGAAGGTGGAGCCACATTTCCACCCAAAACTGTTTGCCTCTCTTTTAAAATAGCCTCTGGAAAGTCGGCCTCCTTCAGGAAGCCCTCCAGTGTGGCTAGGGAAGAGCAGCTCCTCTCTCCTCATGAGGCCCAGTATGGGTGGAAAGTTCTATGCAGATACAGTCAGAAAGGGGAAAGGAAGGAGCTAAAGAGAAGAGAGGGGCAGAAGGAGGAGACGTGATGAAGAGACAAAGGGAAAGAGAAAGGAAGAAACGGAGGAGAAACAAACGTGCTACAAGAGAGGACGAGGGGTCAGGGCGATGCTCCCATTGAGCCCCTCCTGGAGCCAACGCTCCTTTCCCTCTCTGCCTCCACCTTTCTGGGCCTTGCCCTCTGCTCGGGGACGCCATGAGGTCTGGGCCAGCGCTCTGCAGGGGCCAGTGCCATCACACTGGGGAGCTCTGGCCAGGCTCTGCCTGCCCGCGCCTCAAACCTAAGACTCTGCTCTGGGTTTTAAGGCCTGCAGCCTCCTCCCTTTTGACCACACTCAGCTTTTGCTAAATCCTGGAAAGACTCAGTCTCTTTGCCTGTACCCTAGCTAGCTCTCTGGGTGCAGCAGCTTCTAGAATCTTCCCCTTTCATAGACAGAAACTGGAAGAAGAGCACAGCCCCTAGGCCTGCCTTTGTTCCTCCAGGCCGCTACCCCCATCCCTCTGGTTTGTCCTGCCTCTTGGCTGAGAAGCTCTCTCAAGTCCCAATTTCCTGCGTGGGCCAGCCCGGTCCTGGAACTTCCTGGGGCTGCCTGGGCCCAGGGCTGTCCTGGGAAGGCGTCAGACACCTGGCTGGAAGTGAAGGACCCTCAGAAGGCAACCGCCCTGCCACAGACTCACACCCACTCTGAGCACTGACCACCACTGTCGGGGTCTTCATCTGCCCAAGCCCCTGCTTTTCTGCTCCCCCTTCTGGGTCCGACTCTTCCTCTGCACCCAGACTTCACGGCTTCCACACCCGGTTTGCTCCACCTTTTCCAGTCTCCTGTTCTGATCTAAACTCTGCACCTGACCATTTCCCGTTCCCTGGCCTCTCTGTCATTAGTCACTGCTGCTCACTGGCCCCCACATCCTGGTATGATATTTCGTCTGTGCCCCTTGGGATTACAGCACCAATGGGCATTTAGCAGTCATCAGAGGTGGCTCTAGGTGTGATCTGGCACTTAAAACCCATTTCAGTGCAAGCCCTGGTTTTGAAACAGAGCGATTGCAAAGTTCTCAGGGAACATTGGAACTTGGGGACTGGGGAGGGGTCTGGTTTACCAACTGTCCCCAGTTGGAAATGGGGTGCCAGGAAGACAGGCGTGAAGCAGAGGAAGGCGGCCAGGCAGGTGGCATCTCTGCCGGTGCGTTTGCAATCCCGGTGGAAGATGTTGATCTTGGGTGGCTCAAAGTGGAGGCTGGCATTGATCTGAATCACAGGGCGGGACCTGGAGCAGAGGGGCGAGTAGCTGGGGTGGGCAGGACGCAAGGCTGTCCACGGTGACCCAGGGGAGCCAGATGGGAATGGAACCTGCAAAGCCATCACTGTGAGGCAGGGTGGGGACAGAAAGGGACTCCAGATGTTAAAGGATTGGGCAAAAGGTGCACCGGTGGGTTAAGGGGAAGCTCAGGAACTTCATAGCCCCCAAGACAGCCCTTCATCATTTCCTGGGGGCCGCACTTGCTGCAGAGCAGGCTGACTTCCTTTTACCTCCTCCTCACTGTCAGAGCAGTGGTTCCCCAGCCTGGATGGACATTAGAATAATCTGGAAAGCTTTTAAAAATCCTGTTGCCCAAGCTGCCCTGGCAGGTCAAATCAAATCAGAACCAACACCAACTTGCCTTTAAAGCAGCTTTTCAGATTTTAAAACATTTGCTCATCTCCTGGGGATCTACGGAAATACAGATTCTGCATTTCTAGCAGGGCTTGGATGGTGCGGATGCTGCTCCTGGACCACATTTGGAAGAGCAAGGTGTTAAAGCTCCACAGGCGATTCCAGGGTGTTTGCCAAAGTGCAGAACCGCCCACTGTTCTAGCGATTCCACACCCTCCCACCCTCCCCCATCCCATTCAGGCCTCTGAGGAGATGCGCATTTACGAGAGGCTTTCTGACATTAAATTGCTCTATGATCTTAGAACTCCTCCGAGAAGAGGGATTTGGACTTCAGAATAACTTACAGTGATTCCATAAAAAGGAAGATTGTAATCACGATGGGATAAGAGCAGCGTGAGTTTTGCTGACGATGATTGAAGACAAGGGACAAAGATCCCAAAGGCTATCTGGTAAACCCTGTCTCCATTGTGACGGCGCAAGTCAAGAAGCGTGGGGCACCAACCACAAAATCACAGCGCTGCCGAGGGCGCCCACCGCTAGGTCCACAAGCCCATCCTCGTTAAGGTCCAACTGCCCATGGACGCTGCAGCCGAAGTACTGGAGGCCGGGAGCCAGCTCTGAGGCGGTGATTCTCTGCGGGCAGTGGGAAGGAAAAGCAGGGTGCGGTGCCGTGAGCACAGGACAGGCAGGGCGACCCTCAGCGTAGATACAGTTGGGAGCCGGGAGAGGACCTGTTTGAAAGCAGCAGGAAGCCTCCCCGGCCCAGAGCTATCTCCTCTCCTGGTCTATGTTGGCACCTGAAATTCCTGCCAGTATGCCATTCTTTTGGCTTGAGATACTGTGTCTTCAAAGAGTTTCCTGGTGCGTGTAAATGTTACCCGGCAAGTAGCCCATCAGTGTCTCTAACCATGGTATATTACGCCATCTTACCATTGAAATGTGTAGGCAAAAGTGATGAACCTAAAGGGATGGGACCTGCGCTGGATCACTTTTGAGGTGAGCAAGGTGTCTAGCATGAAGGCTTTGCAGAGGAGAGCAAGCCCAGATAGGAGGGTGCAGGTGGAGGGGGTGTGAGGTTCAGGTCCCTGGGGTTTCGTTGTTAGGGAGATAAAGTTAAGCAGGGAGAGGGAGCCCAAAGGGGTCATGAGAGGGTCCTCAAGACAGATGCAATTATTTCCAAAATTATGGCTGGGGGCAAGTGGAGCTAGCACAGATCAGAATCCTCTCCTGTCCGAGGACCTGGGAGAGAATCCTGGACTGTGTGAGTAAGCGCGAGTGACCAGGACGCCTAGGCCCAGCTCCAGACACGGGCTGGTAGATCGTTACCTGCTTCGGGGTCTTTAGGATGTTGCCTTGGAGACCGTGAAAGATGTAGATGACTCCCCGGTGGTTGTCCTCCAAAGGGGCTCCTACCACCACGTCATTGTAGGAATCCTGATTGAGGTCGCGAACCGAGGTGATGGAGGACCCGAATCGGGCGTTCTGGTAACTGCGGGAATCCTTCAGCGTTCCATTATAAACAAACCGATTCTGCAAAACCAGGGCAGGAGAATGGCAAGCGCCCTCTGGGTCCTGCTCGCGTGTACGGTACCCTCTCCCCACCCTGTTTCCCCAGAATCGCCCTGTCTGGCTACCTAAGCCGGGTGCCGGAGGCCATCCTGTTCTCCCTGGCCTGGCAGCGGGCGTGTACTGGCCCCACCAGTCACCCAGTTTCCCTCCTGGAGACCTGAGTCAGGCAGGGGTGAGGGGCCCCTGGGAAGCTGCCCGGCCCCACGCAGCAGTACCTGGCTCAGGCTGTAGACGTACACCCTGCCTCGCTCTCGGCCCTCGCTGAAGTACATGGGCGCGCCCACCAGCAGGACGTCAGTCACTCCGTCGCCGTCGGTGTCCACCGAGGTGATCTCACTCCCGTAGTAAGAGCCTATCTGCAGCACCGGATGGGGAGAGGGCGGTGGGGCTGGGCTGGTGCTGGGCTGGTGCTGGGCGTCCTGGCCTGGCCACCGCAGGGGGACCAGGCAGGCACCCTTGCACCCAGAATTCTCACGCCCTCCCCCCTCCCTGCACGGAGCAGAGTCCCCTGATCTCTCGGGGCCCTACTGTGCCCTCTTTTCTCCTTCTGTCGTCCTTCCCAGACCCCACGCTTCTTTCTTTCCATTTTTGAATTTTATTGATTGCTATTTTGTTCTGTTTGTGATACATTATAATGGCCAAAAATGAGCAAAAAAAAAAAAGTCTTAAAGAAGAAAATAAGTTTCCCATAGTCAAAACATCGAACTAGAACTACCATAAACATTTTAGTGTATTTTCTTCTACTCTGTTTTCTCTAGAGTGTGTGGCTTGGTTGGTGTGTGTGTATACATGGTTTTATTTTTACAGTCTGGGATCATCCTTTATAATTTATATGCTGATTTTTTAATAAAACACTGGATCATGAGCATTTTCTCCCTGATGTATGATTTTACTATGAAATGATCATTGGTGAGTCTGTAATGTTCTAAATATGCATGTGCCAAGTGTGTTTAATCAATTCTCCATTGTTGGACACTTAGCTCATTGCAGTTTTGAATGTTACAGATAACTCGGGGGTTGGCACCTTGTATGGTGAATCATGGTTTCTTATCAGTATTTGGGTGCTCTGTTCCTCTCCCAGCTTCGGTGCCTGCTCCCCACTTCAGCGAGGGGCCCTCCTCCACTCAGGCACCTGAAAGTCCTCCACGGCTCCTCTCTCCACCTCTCCCACCTGCTGCCTCCCCACGGGTCCTGCCCGGTGTGTGCCAAACCCCTGAGCCCATCTGCTTCCCTCCTCTGCTGCTTCTGCCCCAGGTGAGACACCTTCCAAGGGCCCCTGCCTCCAGCCTGGCCCCGCCACCCACTCCCACGGGCAGCCAGAGTGGCCTCTCACAGCTGACATGCTGCTCCCTTGCTTTTGGGGGGTAAAGTCCAGACTCTTCAGCGTGACCCTGCTGGACCTGACTCCCTCCCTCCCTAGCCTCTGCCCCCCACCTCAGCCTCCCACACGCCTCCTGACATGCCTAGTGATTTTTCTTCTCCCAAAGCCCCAGGCCTGGCTGGGCCTCAGGCTTCACTCTGCACGTCCTTGTCTCTGTATGCCTGACCCCCATCTGCCCAGGTAATGGCCACCATCTCTCAGGTCCCTGCCCTTCCCCACTCTACTCCCTGCAACGGTGTCCCTCCTCGATGCCCTTCAGCCCTGACTCCTCCCAGCAGCCCCTGCTACCTCCACGGGTGCCTCATGAGAGTGGGCGTGGTGCCTGTCATGTCCCCTGCAGGCCTGCGTCTCCTGCCTGGCACACAGGAGGTACTCGGTGACTGTCTACTGGGCAGCGGGTCATTTAGGAAGGGGGAAGGAGCCCTTCCCATGGGCAGGCCTGAGGGACGTGCTTACAGTCTCGCGCTAGGCTGGGTGAGCCTCATGCTGCCTTAGGAGAGATCATTGTCCTCATTTCATAGGGAAGGAACTGAGGCTCAGAATTTGAGTCATTTGCCCAAGGTCCGAAGGCTGGTCATGGGCAAACCGGGCTGGGATTCAGGTCTGTCTGACACCCAAGCCAGGCTTCTCCCTCTCCCAGCCACCGCCTGGCTCAGGATGCTTTCAGGAGAAATCTATCCTCAGGCATTAAAAGCTTTTAACAGAGGAAAAAGATAAAAATACAGAAGAGAGTCATGGGGTAGGGAGGGAAGCCATGTGCCTACATAAAGTAATTAAGAGGTAGACAAAGAGCAAATAAGGGAGGAGGGAGGGAGACATGTGTCTATGTGGCCTCAGCTATGTGGGTCACAGCGATTTGGAATCCACTTAATTTAGCTGCCTTCAGCACTGCGGCTTCTCATTCCGATGTTGGAGGGGGAACATGTCATAAATTCATCAGCAAATTCCCTCCAGCTCTCAAGGTCTAGCCTTGGATTCCCAAAAGAGCTGGCCCTGGGCAGAGCGTGGGCAGGCAGGATGGAGGCTGGGGGACAGAGTAGCGTCCTCGGTGCGCCAGTGCCCTTGAGACAGGAACAGGAATGGTAGGATGATGGCTTTCTGCAGCTAGAGGGGTTTAGGTTAGACCCAGTGAGGAGCTTGTCCTCACGGTGACAGGCCACAGGCAGAGATGCAGGAGATGGGGCTGTTCCCAGGCTCCAGAGAGCTAAGGGCAAGCCAGGAATGACAGTCAGGGCCTGGTTAGGGCCCAGCTCCCACTCAGGGTGCCATGGATGCTAAGTGCTGCCAGGCAGGAGGGGCTGAGGCCTGGTTTTGTGGTTGTCAGAGGTCTGGAGCATAATGTGGAGAGCTCCCTTGTCCCCCAAGTGTTCTAGATACTGAACTTGGCCTAGCCGTGAACCCAACCTATAACCTTGGAGAAGCTATGCGTCTTAGCACCACAGTTTTGCCTGGCTATTGAAACGACTTGGATCAGAATCCTGTCTTCTGGCCTTCTTACCACTGGTGGCTTATCACAGCTTTTCCGTTTGTGCCCATGACCATCCAGCATGAGACTCTCAGCAACACGAGACTCGCAGTCTGGTTGCCCACCACCTCCCAGGTGGGGCAGTGGCCTGGGCGGCTGCACCATCCTGCACTGTTACCTTTCCAGGAAAAGGAAGAAGCTGCGGTCTTGGGCCCCGGGGCTTTGCTGTGGGTGGGAGCGGACCTCCTCCCACCTGCATCAGCATGGAGGTGGCTTGTGGAGCACACCCGTGCCTTCAGGAGCCCTAGGGCCCCTGGCAGCCCAGGTGGGTGAGCTGCAGCTAGAAGCTGCCTCTGGCCCTAAACTCTAGACCTGACCAAAGAGAAGCAAGCAATCAGGGGCAGAGGCCAGGCAAATGCACCAGAAACAAGAGGCCTTAGTAGACCTTTGAAACCATTCCACGTGGTAGGCACTATCTATGGCATGAACTGAAGTTCAGAGAAATTATTTTACCTAAGATTACAAGGCATATATATACAGAACTAGAGCTTCTCAACTGTAAAACCTGTGGTCTTTCCAGTTTACTTCACTTTGTGTCTGACTTCACCACACACAAGCCACATCATTTAAGGACAAGCTTTTCTACGGTGGATGTGATCGGTCATCTTTCCTCATTTTCTTTTATCTATAGATTTGGCCAGTGGGAGAGAAATCAACTGCAAGTGCTTAAACACATTGTCTGTCTCTGAGGAGAGAACTATCTGCCTGCAGCTAAGACCTCATTCTGATGGCCAACACATTGTCTGTAGCTCGGCACGGGGTCTCTACCAATCCTCTCAGGTGCTCTTGATGCAGCAGGGACCACAGCCTGTCTTTCTGGGGGCAGGACAGTCCAGCTCCAAGGCTGGCGTGAGGGAGGAGGGAGGTGTATGCTCCCAAGCAGGAAAGATGTTGTAGTCCAGGGACAGTCTCCTGAGGGGGAAGGACAAACCCTAGAGTTCCCTCTAGCCCAGCCTTGCCCGTCTGTCCCTCTGCCCCCACCTCCAGCCTCCCCCTCCGTTACCTGCTCACCCCGCAGGGCCTGGTGGATGGTGAGACTCCGGTTGTTGTGCATGGTGAACAAGATGGCTTTGCCTGTGTGGTTGAACCGGGGTGCTCCAGCCACATACACCCACCCCTGCCTGGAGGACACGACCGACGTAACTGTGTACCCTGCCGCAGGAGGAAACAGGCTGGTGTCGGGCCCCACGTCCTCAGCAGGCCTTGCCAGGGGCCCAGAGCCCGCTGAGCTGTGCCTGAGGCCGGGGCAGGGAGTAGTTCAGGGCAGGCCGTGCAGATGTGAAAGTCTAAGGCAGTAATTCCCAGGCTTAGCTGGGGAGGCCTGAAAGAGGCAGGGCTCAGGAGGGGAGTTTAGATGGTGGGGACTCCCTGCACCCTATGCCCTGCTGCAGGGAATCCAGGAAGCCAGGTGGGGCCCCTAAAAGGCGTCGGTGACCTGGAGTGCAGGCATCCCCTCCTTTGCTCCTCCAGGGCGAGTGTATCAGGGAACAGGGAGGTGGGAGAGGGTGAATCATAACCATGCTTCATTTCATATTGGGAGGCTTTGTGCTTGATCCCACCAATTTTCTCTCTCAGGGACGGGACCAGCCAATGTCCTCTTCATTACCATGACTCCCTGCAACGTGGGCCGCAGAAAACTACAGTGTTGGCTGTGCAGATATAAGGGCTGGCTCCACTTGGCATCTGCACGCGGTTCCCAGGGGCTCTTGCAGCCCCAAACCCCGCAGACTCAAAAGAGGGAGCCTAGGCTCCTCACAGTTCCACGTAACACCACGAAGACGGGAATAAAACCCAGGGCCTTTTTGGAAAGGCCACCAATTCATGTCCTTGGGATGGCTCTTCCTGGTCGCTGTGATTCTTGAGGTGCCCACCCAGCACTGGGGGGGGTGAGTGTACAGTGTCTTCTGAAAGTGAGCCCAGGTGTGTAAGGCTGAGTCTCACTTTCTGCAAGATGATCTCAGATACTGGATCCCAGTTTTCAGATGTGTGTCAGGCCTTATTTGCTGTCCCCAGTCTGTTTCTGGGGAACAGATGTTTCCTCTGCCTTGTTTGTGTATGTGCGTGTGTGCGTTTGTGTGTGTGTGTGTGGCGGGGGTAACAGTGTCACTCGGGCCCCATGAGTTGCTTCCACACGAGTGGCTGCAGGGTGTGTCGATGAGATGACTCATCTACAGGGGCATGGGTGCAGGAGGGTGGACTGCTCTCATTCCAGACATATTTTTGACTCTTGGAGATGTATTCTGGGAAAAGGTCGGGAAGGCCAGGATATTGCCTGGGAGCTGCCAACATGGTGGTGCATTTAGGCAACCAAACTACATGAGGATAGGGCGGGACAAGCCTTGTGGTGTGGAGCAATGATTCCTTCTGAGCTGAGCCCTCAGGGGCACTCCTGAAAAGCTCTCAGTTGGCCCTTGGCTTTTGGGTTTCCTCAGAAGGAGGAAGGGCTTGGGGGCCGATGTCCTGGGGGCAGGTGTGGGCTGACTCTCAAAGCTCCGAGCAACGTTGAGAACCTCTGGCTTCCCACTGTCTGTTGGCTGTGGCCCCAGTTCCCCTGCAGTTTTTTGGTTACTAGGCAAGGCCATCCTGAAAGCTGGACCAGCCTCCCCGAGAGCCTGACAAGGGACAGAAGGCCTGACAAGGGGACAGAAGTCCATACGGCTCCAGCGGTGCGGAGGTGGAGTGCTTGGCCTCCTGGTCTCCTTCCTCCAACCCCCCCAGCCCCAACCTTCCACCTCCCTTGAGGCAATAGTGAGGAATCTTCCAGAGATCCTAGATGCTGCCCTCACTGGATGAGCCACAGAGGGAGGAGGAAGAGAAGACACTCCCTCAAGACCCCTACCCAGGGTGGTGACTGGTGACAGCAGCACCACGGGCCTCCTGAAGCTCCTTCAGCCTGGCTTCACCCGACCGGGGTCTTCTGGGAGGAGGAGGGTGGCTCTGCTGGACTGGGGTGGGGATATTCATCCTGCTGCCTCCCCCAGCCCCCACTCAGACACCCTCACCATCTCCCTGCCGCCAGTGTGAAGTATCTCAACCCCCGTAACCTGGCGTTCAGGGCTTCCTGCTGCAGCCTGCCCTGGCCTGACGTCCTCTTCCCTGTGCTAAGCTCCCCTGTGCCCCAGCCATGCCTGTCTGCTTCCAGTGTCCTGAGCTTTCCTAGGCTTCTTGCACTTCTCTTCTTTGCTTGCGCTTTCCTGGCTTATTCCATTCCCCTTGTCCTAGAGACCTGGCAGAGGCCCCGCTCCTGCACAGCGGCTGCCAGCGTGGGCCAGCCCACTGGGGCACAGCCTCTCACAGCATTTCCCCCACTCACTCAGTTCCGGGACCCTGAGGATATCTCTCTGTTATTTAACACGTTGTGGTACCTGCGTGGTATGCCCCTCTCTTGGTGACCTCACTTTTGGCAGAGTGCTGCGCACATGTGAGGATTTGAGCTAAAAGGGTGCTAACCTTTGTTTTTCTGGCATCACCTCTAGTATTTGAGCCCTTGCTAAGGCAGCAGGGAGTCCAGTCTCTCCCTCCTCCATTTGTGCTTGTATCTGAGCTCTTACCTCCCTTGTGTTATAATTTACATCTGGGCACATTTCTGTCCCCTCTGGCTGGCAAGCAGCTTGAGGCAGGGACTGTGGCCTGCTCACCACTGCGCTGTCTGTGCAGTCCAGGTTTAACAGCTGTCGAGTGACACAGACCCCAGGACTTAGGGCCAGGTCCTCTTGGGGGAACTTTAGGGACCTACATCTCTGGATTGTCCAGAAAGTCTTGATTTCAGCATTCTGTCCTGCTGTCACCTCAAGGTGAGCAGCGTCCTAGGCAGGGCATGTGACTGAAGAGCTAGTGGGCACTGGGGGATGGTGTGGAGATTAGAGAGAAGACAGACGTGTGGACAGATGTTGTCAATTCTTCTTGGCCCAGGCTCACAGAGGAGTGGGGTGTGAGGAGGCATCCATGATGAGTGGCTTCACAGATGGTAAACTTGGTTTGGAAATTCGGAGAGATCCAGAGACTGTGGGAGCCCTGGACATTCACCTCCTGCTAGTCTTTGCTCTGGCTCAACCCTTTCAGGAAGGAACAGGCTCGCACAGATGGGCCTTTGTGTGGGTGGCCAGGGGCACTGTGCTTACGGATCTGGCGGTAGCTGCCATCAACAGGCTAAGGCGTCACAGCTGGAGCCTGTCACCATCAGGTCAGTGACTGGTGCTTATCTTTATATGTCCACTTCCAAAGTGCTTACCGGGAAGCAACCCTGCCTTAATTGGGAATATCAATACTTAAAAATGATACAGGTATTTTCTGCTTTTCTTCCCCTCTCGTTTTTGAAAGTGCCAGTTATGCCTCTTTGCTTTTATGAAAGACCTGCATTGGTATGTGTTTTCACTAACTGAAAGAAAGCTGAAGAGGATTTTCGCTTTTACAAAAAGGTGAAAAGTGAGAATAGCATTCAGTATTTGGTCTGCAGGGAGCCCTGCTAGAGGTGGCACACACGCCAAGCAGAGTGTCCCCGCCAGTCTCCTTCCCCCAGAATCACACTTAGCACCTCAGCATCAAGACACCAGGGCTTTGAACTGTGTGAGCATCGGTGCTCACATCAATTTATTTTGTGCAGCTGTTTGCAAGCTGCGTCCTAGGGCATGAGAAAAGTCTAAGAGAGGTTATTCCTTGGGTCTGGGAACACCCCAACATCTTCCATATACATTAACAGTGATTGCTGCTTCTCCTTGTGCCGTTTCAGCTTGTGGAAGGTGTCATAGCATCGCTGTACTATAGGAGTGTGGGGTCTGTACAGGTTTCTCCTCTACTTTATTTGGCCCTGGGGAAGCAGGCTCAGTGCACTTAAACCCTAGTCAGGGCAGAACGCTCTAAGACCCACCAGCAGCTGACCTAGAGTCTAGAAGCAACCACTGAAGCACTTTTCAGGTTTGGGTGCATTGCTTGTCGTTTATTCCACCTATTTACTGAGAGCCTATGATGTGCCGGGCATGGTGTTGGTGTGGTAGGTGCCAGGCTGCAGAGGCACTGGTCCCTGCCCGTGGCTTCCATCAGTACAGATATGCACAGGCAGGTGCCTCATCACATGTGTGGGAGGGTTCTGGATCCCCTGGGCCCCCTCCTTGCCCACCACCCGTCAGACACCCTCTGCTCTGGCTCTTACCTAGATACGCGCCGTGGTTCTTGAGCTCCTCAGGGAATTCCTTCAGGTAGGACTCTCGCAGAGGAATGACCTTCCCGCCGCTGGTCTCCTTCAACACGGCTCCATTCCAGTCATAGGCGCCAACAGCTCCCAGCAGAACCCCGTCCTGTTAAAGGGGAGGGGACACACATCAGCTCACGTCCTCCGGGTGTCTGTTGCTGGGAAGCCACACCAGGTCCTTGTGCCATGAGGCATCTGCCAGCCACCTTGGGTTGAATATCAACCCTCCCTGGGTTCAGTATTCAACAACCTAACTCCCGGCCAGGATTCTTGGCTTTTGAGTGGGCTGAGGACCCTCTTACCCATCCGATCCCTTAGCACAAAATGGGTCAGGCTGATCCCAAGGATGGGATCTTAAGAATGATGGGATCTTCTAGAAACAAACTCCAAATCCAGGACCAAGGAGCCAATTCCTTTTTGGGCTTCCAAACCCCTCTAGGATTCTCTTGTCACTGTCTCTTCCTTCTGACATTCCTCCGAGCTGTTCCCCTGCACTTGGCCTCCTTCCCCAGTCCTTTGCAGTGTCTGAGTTATTTCCCTGGGTGTAAATCCCACTTCTTTATTTCTTCAGTAGAAAATCACTGAGTATCTACTTTGTGCCAGGCACTCACTTGGTGCTGGGATACTGTCCCTGTCCTCACGGAGCTCAAAGGTATTAAACAAATAAGCAAATAAACATAAGAGTTACAAACTTCTAAGTGCAACGAGGGATGTGATAAAATTGCAGTGAGGTTTAATTTAGATTGAGATGGGGATCAGGAAAAGCACTTGAGTTGGGTGGGGACAACTTGTGCAAAGGCCCTGAGGCTGGAGAGAGTTTAGAACCTTTGGTGTCAGACCTGGAGGCTGTTGGATGAAGCTGAAGCCATGCGTGAGGGGACAGAGTGGCTCAGTGAGGCAGGATAGATGAGCCGTGGCCATACTGTGACGGCCAATCCCCCAGGACACAAGCTCGTCTTTAGTTGCAAGTGGTTAACGGTAAGTGGGTGCTGAGCGCTCTGGCTCCCCGAGGAAAGTCTCCATGTCCCTGACTCCAGTGTCCTTTCCTGAGGACCAGGTCCACTCCCGCTCTGGGCGGCCCCTGCTCCCGGTCGACCACTACCTTGCCTCCTTGCACAACCCACAAAACTAGTGGGTGCAGGAAGGTAAACTGCTAGCACTTAGAAGAGGGTAAGAAGTGACTAGGGGCAGTGAGAGCCTGAGGAGGGTGGTCAAAGCAGAGAGGCGCCTCCCTCCTGGGTTACCCTGGGGTGCAGACCGCACCCCAACCGTGGGCTGTTAGAGCATTAGCTGGTGAGATCCCCTTTCTCCCACTGAGCTTCCTGAAGCCCGGCTGCTGGTGGGATCTGAGGTTCTCCCATCACTAGGGGCCCAAGGCCCCCAATCTGCCTCACTCCCAAAGCCATGGTGGCAATGGGAAGATGTGATTCTGGCCTCGGGACACTCAAGAGCCGTGACTGAGCACTCGGGGTGGGGTTGGGGGGCGCCGTGCCCTGCTCTCCTTGGTGGTGGGGAGCAGGCACGACTGCCAATCTTAAACTGAGCTGACTTTTCTCCTTTACAATGTGTCACTGTAAAAAGTAAAGTCAATCTTATACAGGGTTAAAAAGTCCTAATATCCTAGAGGTGGATCTGACTGTAAATAAGCTGCTCCTGGGAAGGTCTGATGTGCTTGGGTTGCTGAATGTCATCCTTCCTAATTAGCTTTCTTTCTCTTCGTCTGTACGAGCCTCAGCCTGGGAAGGTTTGACAATCTGCTGGGCCAGGATCGGGGCCAGCACCTCAAACACGTGCTGCCTACAATGTCACTGTCAGAGTTCCTCACACTTGGGGCATGTGTGCTCCATTCTTTGAGGAGTAGCTTCTCCTGCAGCTGCCCATTTGTGTGAGGCCAGCAGGACAGATGTTCATTATCTGCACTTGACAAATGAGCATCTGAGGTTCAGAGAGGGAAAGGGACTTGCCCAAGATCACACAGCGAGTCACGGGAAGGGCTGGGACTTCGGTCAGAGAGGTGGGTTGGCCAGAGGAGAAAAATCCCCATCTGCTTCCCTGAAGCTCCTGGATTCTGCTTCTGATTTTCCATGTGAGCACCTTCTGAGAGCAATGTGACGGTCAGGCCTCACCTCTGCCTTCCTTTCCTTCTCTCCACCAACTTTGCAACTGCAGGCTTCTTCGCTTCATGGAGAGGCCTTTGAAGATGGAATTTTGACTTTGTAGATGACCAAAAGCCTTTATGATGTGCCAAGGATTGGCTCAGCTGAGGTGCCTGGGATCCAGCCGGAGCAGACCCGATGCCCACTCACCACACAGGGGGTTTGGGAAGTCCTCTGGGACTTCTGGATTTGGTAACTCTGGGCCAGCTGATGGCTCATGGGCTCTCACCTAATGCCATTTCACCCTGGCAGCAGCTGTAAGCTTGAGCTCCCAAAGGGGGGCCCTTTCCTGAGGGGAATATATTGGGGGTCAAGGGGAGCCCCTCTGAGGATGGGGTGCACACTGAGGAGAGGGTTGGCTGCGAGGGTGAGCGAAGGACACCAGAGAAAATCTCACTGTGTCACAATTTTTTCCTAGCTGGGGGAGTCCAGACATTTTGAGTTTGGAAAAAATCTGGAAAGCAGGGTAAAACAAGGGCCAAAGCCTTGACAGAGGAAGCTAGGCATGCAGGCCCCGCTGGCTGCAAACGCAGGGCGTTCCAAGGAAGAGCCCCATCCCACGCTCCGGGCCCGGCACCAGCTCCTTATTTATGGCCGCCTTTTCCTATGAAAAGCTCCCACCAAGACGTAACCAGGGTGAGCCTGGGTGGCCTTTCACAGATGGGCACAAGGTCACACAGCTTGCTACGAGCTGACTTCCTGGTGCTTTGCAGAGGCGAGAATGTGGTCCTGGTGGCTCACAGAAGGTCCGAGGCTAAGTCTATGCCCTCCCCGAGGATGACCTGTACCAACCAGTCCTTGCCCGGGCACAGCACCCACCGCCAGCCCCCTGCTCAGCTCTCAGCTGCCTTTGACCTGGCCTCCCAGCAGTTTTACCTTCCAAGCTGAGCTGAATGCTCCCTGGACATGTGACCTCATCTCCGCAGACTCTGTGCTCTAGCCAGCCCACGTCCCCAGCCAGGGTCAGGCCACATCCTCAGCGCTGCAAGCAGCACAGTCTAGGGCAGTGGCTCCCAAGTGGGGGAGGTTTAGCCCCCAGGCATATTTGGCAATGCCTAGAAACAGTTTTGGCTATCACAGCTGGGAAGGTGTTGGGGGTGCTGTGACATCCGATGGGTGGTGGCCTGGACACGTACTGTGCCCAGGATAGCCCCACAGCAAAGAATTACCGGTCCCAACTGTCAACAGGGCAGAGGTGGAGAATCCCGGGCCTGGTGGTCAGAGCAGGAACTCTGGAGCCAGACATCGCTGAGCTCTAGTTCCAGTTCTCAAGCATCTAGCTGGGTGACCTTGGGCAAGTTCCTCTCTGTCTGTCTGTCTGTCTGTCTGTCTCTGTCTCTCAGCCTCAGGTTCCTCAGCTGTACACAGGTTGTGTACATTAGCTTGTGAGCATTAGCATTTTAAATTCTTAGCATGATGCTTGGCAGCTAATAAGGGCTTGACACATAATAACTCTTTTCATTCATTAAGTTACCCACAAAGCACTCTTGGGGAGGCAGGAGTCAAAAATCAGATCTCACAGTCAAGTCAATGCTACAGATGAGTGATTATAGCGGCCTGTGAGGAGTGCTCTGACGGAGGCAGGGACAGCCTGTTCTGGGGCCCGCAGGCGGGGGCACTGATAGAGAGGTAGGCGGGCACATGGTGGAGATAGAAAAGGATTTTAAGGAAACTCGATTTATTAGTGAGTCTCAAAATGCACACCTCCAGTTCCAAGCCTCAAGATTCAATTCCACAAATACTTTTCAAAGACAAAGGTTCAGAGGGGTTAAATGATTTGTCTGAGGCCACACAACCAAGCAGTATGTTCCCCTTGCCTGGAATGCCAGATACCAGCAATTCTTCTCAGCACTGGAGCAGCGGGGCTACAGAGGCAGCTGGAGGTGGCCCTGGTGGTCCTGTGCATTTGTGTGTGGGGAGACCGCCGAGAGGGCATCGAGCACTTCCTCCTCCTCCAGGCTGCCCCATGGCTACCTAGTGCCTGCGTGTCCACATCAGAGTGACTGCAGAGGGGGCAGGACTCTGCTCCCAAGAGCCTCTTCTAAGGCAAATATATCACTAAGAGGGTGGATTATGCTTTAATGAGTTGCTGGGATTCTGTCATTAGAAGACATGTTTTCAACAAGCCTAAAGTGGATCCTGAGGAAGGGATGAATTCCAGGATGTTTGGATGAGGTTGGGCAGGGAAGACCCAGAAATGTGTCCTCAACCTTTCAGTGAGGGGAGCCCCTCACCGCGTGTGGTGCTGGAGCCGGGCGAGGCACTCATTCCTGCTCAGGTGCTTGGGAGTCTCTGCTTAGACAGCCCAGGAGCAAGGCCCAGGGGAGTCACCACTGGGCATTGGGCACCAGGGTACAGCCTGAGGACATGGGGCTGCACACAGGAGGACCCCAGTGAACAGGAAATGATTCCTGCTACCAGGAGTCAACTTGCAAACAATCTGGAACAGCATGCCAGCAGACCTTGGCCTCCAAGTCCTGTAGCCAGCCCTGACTACTTGCCCTAGCTTGCCAGTGGGAGAGTCCACCCTTTAGGGCTACAGGGGCTCAGGAGGCATTTACAGACTAGATATCAGCCCCTCATGCCACCAGTATGGATTAGTTTCTTTCACTTTTGATTGAATCAGATATGCAAAACTAGTTCAGATGCTTAGGAAAGATTACAGCTTTAAAGCTTCAACAGCTAAGAACAGGGAGCTAATAGCCTATTCTTGGATAATAGCCAATAGCCTTAGCTATCCAGTCCACGACCCCAGGAGGGGCCCAGGCTGAAGAGACAGGAGGGTGGCTGGGGCAGCTGGTACAGCGGTCAGAAGCTGCCCGACCTTGGCCTGTTTCTCACATAACTGAGGGCTGGTCCTGCTGGGTTATCACGTGTAGGTTAAAGGAGAAACGATCTCTTTCCATCTTGGCTGAGTCACCGAGGTTTTTGTGTAGACGGGATCCACTCTCATAAAACTGCTTCCCTCTGCAAACTTTTGGTATTGGGGGAGATTTACGGACTGCGGCGTAGAAGGTCCACGTGAAATTCTGCTGCTGAGCCCCTGAGTGGGAGCATTCCCTGCAGCTCCATCCGTCATCAACGGGAATCAGTTCTTTATAGTCCTCTTGCTCCCTCCACATCCTCCCCTGGTGGCCCATGGTGATTATAGACCCTTAGAATCTACACCCCTTTGAGGAGTATGGATCCTTTTTGCAAGTCTCTGGCAGATTCTTCTAGATTATCCAGTCTGATAGGAGTTCACAACCTTAGCAGGCAGCCAGCACTAACAGAAGCCACTCCAGCTATTAGTGACCTTGGCATTCATTTTCAAATGCTAATGGAATCATTGGCTTAAAAATCCATTCTGGAATTTGACCATAGCTGGGATCCTGAGGGTAATTTCCAGGACATTCTCTTTCTGCCTTCTGCAAATTGTGACAGGAGTTGCCAGGGTTGGCTCCAGCTCCGGGTGGCCCCAGTGGCTCTGACCTTTGGCCACGAGCCTGGGACACAATGCCTGTGTCCTGGCAATGCCATCAGCCTGGGACACAATGCCTGTGTCCTGGGGTCTCCTCTCCTGCCTCCACTTCCTCCTTCCTCTTGTTGCTTTTATCCTTCCTAACCCGACGGCTGGTTTCCTTGCTAGGTGGACGGCAACAGACCAGGTGATGAGTCGCCGGACCTTTTCTCTGCTATTGGAGAACATACTGCTGGGTCCTTTCCCCAGCACTAGAGACCTTTCCTTCTGACATAACTAGCAGGCAGAAGGTTTCTTCCACACATTTGCAGAAAGTAGCTCTCTGAGGCCATCTGTGGAGCACTTCTGGAGGAGAGAGAGCCTGGGTGCTCGCCAGGCTCAGGACCTGCTCTGGGCAAAGCAGGAAGGCTGGACCCACCTGGCTGCAGCTCCCAGAGAGGTCCGACTGTCCCTGAGAGCTGCAGCGCTGCACTCTCAGGGACAGACAGCTGTGGCCAATTACTATGGCATCAGTGGCTGGCATTGAAAAACTTCCGTCTTTAAAATAGCAACCCAATGGCCAGTCACAGTGCCAGATGGCCCGCCATCATTGCACCATTCTTTTGGATTTAGGTCTTGTTTTTAAAGTATTCAGGAGTTCCAGATTCGGATGTCATCATCATCTCTTTAGAAGTCCTATCAGCTAAAAACTTCCAGATGCCTGTCCCTTGAAAATGAGACTCAAGGGCGATAGAAGAACCAGGGTCTGTATCTGCAGGATGGGGAGAGGCACCCTGGTCTCTCCAATTAGGGGAACAGAGGAAGAGCTGGTATGGTGAAGAGCTGAATGGGGGCAGTGCATACCTTTCCTAAATGAGAAGCAGGGGTTCTGGGCTCCTGGTTTCCCCTGTGCAGCTGGGGAACCCGTTGATCCTGCAAAGACTCATCTTGCTTGACACACTGAGCTGCTTGGACCATTTTCAGATCTCACCTCAAGCACCCCCAAATACCTGAAGCTCATCCTCAATTCCCCTTCTCTTCAGATTCCCTGGTTCCGGGGGAGACATGGGACGTTCATGCTCACTGTCCCCGACATCAGGGCTGGTCCCTGGTGTGTGCTCAGATTTCTCTGTGTTGTGCACATAACTTCCTCCGTTCTCATGCGTGCTGCCATCCACGGCTACAGAAATCTTCGTCATTCAAGGGTCTGACCCCCAGCCTGGGCCCTACCACCTTTAAGACCCTGATCACATGCGGCCTTGATTAGCTTCCGGTGGACGCATGTGGCCCCCTTCCTGGGCAGGGGATCTTCTCGGGGGCTCCATGGACGGGCCCCTCCTGAAGCGGAATACTTGTACCCAGGAGAAATCCAGAGTTTTGTTCCTCCTACTCTCTCAACGCTGAGGTCTGTGGTTCTGCAATATTTGCAAGTTCCCTCCTGAATTCAAGACTGATTTCTGGTCCCTTTTTGTATCTTAGTTGCATATGACAAGTGCCCGTTGAATTTATTGATGCATAAAATTAAGATTCCCTTCTTGCATTCTCTAATGAGGCCTGATCCCAGGGTCATGCCCTACATGACTTGCCACGTGACCCTCGTCTCTCCTGTGCCTGGCTCCTTACCCTCAGACTGAGCTCTTGAGGGCAGAGATCTGGCCTCTTCCTCTCCTGGGAGCTAGCATGGGGCCCAGTACAGAGAAGACTGGCCGATCTGACTACCTAAAATGGGACGGCTACTACTGCCTGCCAGCCTCGCAGGGCTGCTCTGAGCGTGAAATGAGGCACAGGAATTTCCTGGAAGAATTTCACAAGCCCTGTACACGTAACATGACTCTTATGGGCAGCCACATGTATGTCTTGCTGTGTTCAAGTGGGCAGGAGGTTGTCCAGATGCAGCTCAGGAAGAGCCGAGTGTGCATCGGGTTTCCGTCCATTTGCTCGCTGCATGCTGTGCATGGGACCCTCGCCCACCCCCACATCGGGATCTCTGACGCAGACCCCTTTGAATTTCACTCTCTCTCATAGAACAGCTGCTTGGTGTGGGAGAGGAGGTGAGACTAATCTTTCTCTCACTTCTGTTACTTCAGCAAGTCACTAAAATTTTCTGTGGCCCTGTTTATTTATCTGGAAACTGTGAACAAGGATTTCTGCCCGGTTTACCTCACGGAGGAGTTGGGAAAATTTAGTGGGATGGTGAAGGTGATATATACATAGGATAGACTAACCTGCCCTTCCTGGCACATTTGGAGGCTTGAGTCCACCTCCACGGAGCCAGGCCGGGCAGAGAACACTTAGGGCACTTGTCTGTCCAACGCTCGCCCACAGGGCATGTGCTGACTTCCCACCCACGCAGGCTTCCGCCATGTGGTGCGCCCAGGCAGGCCTCTACAGTTCAGCAGCGTTTCGTAGATCGAGAGTCCTCTGCCCCTTTCTCAATCCTGTGAGGCTTCTGCCTCACTTTGGGAAACAGGACCAGGAGGTGTGAGTGGAGGGAGTGACAGCCTGAGGCCTTGGGCGTGTGTGCCCCAGACACGACTCGCTGCTTGGGACACCATGTGCCCACCAAGGACCTCTGCAGTCTGATGCCGTGTCCACACAGAGAAGGGCCTATGAGGGCCACCTGCCCACATACATCTGGCGCATCTGGACTCCTTCTCAACGTCAATGCTGGGCTACACTCTGCACCACAGGCGCCTCGGGCTTGGGCACGGTTAGAGCACGTGCAATCGGTTTTGCCATGTTGCTGTAGTTTTTACACTAGGCTCTGCAGACTGAATGGAACCCTTAGTCCCGGGGGGATGTGTCCTCATCAGCACCTGCCCAGGGAAGGTGGGTTTCTTATTTGTAGCCCACTCCCAACTGTAAAGGGCTCAAAACAACTTATTAAAAGTCAAACATCTTGACTTTCCTTTTCCAGCCACAGAAAACAGGAGGCCAAGAGACCCCTAAGAAAGAGGGAAAGGGGGCTGAGAGGGAGCTCAGGAAAGGTGGGATACTGACCAACAGAGGGAAGCAGAGGGGGCGGGAGGGCGGCCCCGGGGCCTGCGTACCTCCACCACGTGGGAGGAAAAGCCCGTCTGTGACATCTCCAGCCCGAAGGAGGTCTCATTCTTGTTGGTGCCTGAAACAGAAAGGGACAGAAAGATGCCAGCCTCATGCCTGTTTGCTTACTACCAGATACACCTGCAGCTCAGTCTGCAGCGCCTGTGACCCAGGGGACACCGTCAGGGTGGTGAGAGGGACCCCAAGTCAGAGCCCAGCGGCCATCAGCCTCAGCTGCCCTGAGCGACAGGCAGCCTGCACGGGGAGGCGCCAGGCCCTTTCCAGGTGGTCGCATGGGCTTATCATTAGTAGCCACTCGCTGCTGAAAGGGCTTGGGGTGAGTTACATCACTGGGCATGTGCACCATAGAGTCTGGAAATAGGGGAAAGATTAAGGGAAGTTCCTGAAAAGAAATAGCCTAGATTCTTGGCAAGAAATGGAATGCCCCACTTTGTTCATTCCTATTATTCACCAGATTTGGTTCTAGATGCCTCTGGATGATTCGTAAACTTTAAACGGACTCTCAGGAGGGAGACTTGCCACCACCACACGTTTGAGCAAGTCCCATGTGTGCTGGAAGCCCCTCCCCACCGAGGGCCCCCCTGAACCTGGCAGCCGGGCCACGGTTCTCAATGCTCAAGGCAACTGATTCTAGGAGAAATACACTGAAGTGAATATTTAAGTTCTTGTCTGAGCATCAGAACTCAAGTTCATACATTCTGTTCCTTCTTCCTTGTTTATAAGGGCCACTTTTGTCTCTTTTCTTGTGTCTGTAGCTCAGACACTGCCTTTTCTCCCCATTTACAATTGTCCTACGCAGCAAAGCCCAGTATTGGCAGGGCCCCGCGATAGCCGTGCACGGTGCAAACAAGATCTGTGCACATCAGAACTGGAGCCTGAGCCATGAGAGGGGCCGCCTGAAGGAAGCCAGCACATGTGGTTCAGTGGAGCAGGAGGCGGGGGGAGTGACCGTCTCCGGCTCAGAAGTCAGGCCGCTGGGTCCAAACTCAGGTTGCCAGAGAAAATATAAGATATCCAGTTAGATCCAAAGTTCAGGCAAACTGAATAATTTTCACATATACATCTGTCAAAAACATGGTATTTGATATTTGTAAATTTGGCGACCCTGGTTCAAACCCCAACTCCTTCCCGAGCTGTGGAAAGTCACTTAGCTCCTCCAAGCATCTGCTTCCTCAGTGGTCAAAGGAGGAGAAGATCAACAGAGCCATCTTCCGGGGCTATTTGCAAAGTGCACAGCCTCACGTCTGGCACAGAGCTGCTCAAGTGTGGGCATCCAAGGATGGCTCCTGCTAGACCATTCCATGTTGCAGGGTTGGATTTTGCTCCATGGGGTTCACCCGATGTCACCTGATATGAATACAGGGGCGTGGACCCCTCTGGGTAGGTACTGCTCACCTTCCAAGCTGAAGATCCTGTCCCCCAGGGCATCAACAATGTCCTTCAGGGCTGCCTCATCGGTGACATTGAAGAAGTGCTTGTCATCAGGGTCGCTGGCGATGTATTTGATTTCATTTAGAAAAGTTTCTGGATTGATCCCCCTGCGGTTGTAGTAGCCCAGGACCTGCCAGGGAACAGGGGGCAGGGGCGACAAAACAGGACATAGCACAGACTTCCCCACACATGCATGGCCCTGATCCCAGGGCCCCAGGGCAGCTGGCGCCACTGTTTTGGTAGCTGTGAGGACAACTCATGCTTCCATTTGACTTTGAGACAGGCCATCTTGTAGGGGCCAGGGGAGGCCCCTGCTCTAAGTTGGGGCTCTCGGGCCAGGAGGCTTGGGGGTGTTTCCTGGTTTCCTCAGGTTTCAGAACCTCCCTGGCAATGGAGACAAAGAACCCATCACTGTCGTGGGTTGGTCTGGGCAGTGCAGGAAGAAAAAACTCTCAACTTGCTCTTCAGGAGAGGATGCAACAAGGAGAGGCCTATCTGAGGGCCTGGATAGCTTGAGTGCCATCCAGGAGTCCTTGGGAGCGTGGGGGCAAAGCCTCTGGAAGGCAGCTGGGACAGGAGTGCAGAACTCACGGCCACAGCGTATCTGGTCACGTTGTCCCTCTCGCTTTGCTGGATCACCTTCTCCAGGTCAGGGGTGTCGTGGGACTCGCCATCCGTGATGACAATCATCACCTTCTTGGCGCCTTTCCTTCCACCCTTCTGGAAAGCCTCTGAGCTGGAGCCAGAGCACAGGGCTAGGGTCACAGAGGGAGGTGGGGATGGGGCAGCCCCAGGAGCCAGGGCCATAGCCCTTGGCAGCCCTACCAGTGCTGGGACCTCCAGCCAAAGGACAGCTGAGCTGAGGTGCCCAGGTCACTCATTCACCTGCTGCCCAGATGGGTATCTGTTTGTCTTTAAAAAGGCCCTCTAGGGTCCTGACCATATTGTTGTGGGCAGGCAGAGAGATGGGGTGGCCTGGGAGGAGAGTTCGGGGTCAGATGGGGACTGTAGAGGCTGTAAGTGAGCAGTTCAAAAACCCAGCTCCACATTAGAGTCTCCTGGGGAGTTACCAAAAAATGTGATGTCCAGGCCCCACCTGGTCTCATGAAATCAGAATCCCTGGGCTGTGGCTGCGCGTTGGTGTTTTTAAAAGTTCTAATGAACCCCCGAGTTGAGAACCCCTTCCGTAAGTACTGGAAAGGTGATCAGTCAGAGTAATTCAACACCCAAACAATAGTAATCCATAAAATACGTGTGCTGAAGCCTGACTTGTCCCATGAGGACTACTTTGATTCTATTTTGGGAACTATTTAATATCAAATTCTATGACAAATACTCCTCTCTCTCACTTTCTATTTTGTTTCCAGTGCCTGCTGAAGGCACTTGGCCTGCCTCTTGGGCAACCCAGCGAGGGGACGAGTGTGGGGCCTGGCACGCTGACCCGAGACACTCTGGAGAGGTTCTCGCAGCTGGCAACCTGTCTCTCAAGCACAGAACTGGTTCTTGAACCATCACTGGCTCTTGGTACCTCTGTGGCCTATCTTTCTTTAGACTGGGTGGTTTTGAGAAAGACAGACATGGTCTGGCCCAGGAGTCTGGCCCAGCAGGTAGAATTTTCCAATAAGGATCTAAAAATAAATGTTACCCTTAGATTTTGTGGTGACTCCTCACGGGTCTGATCCACAGGTTTAAACTCCACCTGCCAGGTTAAAGCTCGTCTCTGGGCCACATGGCTTTGTGTAGCAGGGTATCTCTTGCTACATGGCGAGCTGAGGAGCTGACATGCATGGTTTTTTAGAGGAATTCACAAATCCTGAAATAAGTTAGTTCAGAGCATCTTCAAGCTACCAGTTAAGAGAAATAGACTACGTGCCATTCTCCAAGCTCAATGATATTGTGGATAGCTGACTTAAACAACCCTCTAATTTTAGTGTGAGCCATGACTGGAGGAGGGCAGGGGCATGCATGCCATGACCAGAACAGATACTGAGCTAAAGCCCGATGCAGTGGGGGAGAACTCTGCCAGTCCCTCAAAGGAGAGTCTAGATGTTTCTATGCTTCATTGGAGAGTCAAGCCCAGGAACAAAACTCTATGCAAAAAAGTGTGGCAGGGGGAAAACAGGTTTTATTTATATGGAGCCAAGAAAAATATCAGGATCAGATTTCCATATAGTGGAATAGTGTGAATATCTGTTTGAACCTGTAATATTGACATGAATATTGTCATGAATCATCACATTTAAAACTGTGCAGAAAGACTTGGATTTGTTTCTTTGTACATCAGATTATAAGTTACTTGAGAGTGCTGAGAGCTTTATGTCTCTATGCTAACAGAAGTTTCCATGAAGCTGGAAGCCAGAGTGATCCTGTGGAAAAGTAGGTCACGTCATGTCTCTTATCTGCTCGAAACCAGCCCCGGCTCCCATTTCTCTGTGATCCTGACATTGGCCCACCAAACCCTTGCGATCTGGTCATGGTATCCCTCTGAGCCTTCCACTTCCTCACTCCCCTCCACCCACACTGGACTCTGCACTCCTCCTGGAACCACGTGGCACCCTTTGTCCGAGCTGCCCCCTCTGCCTGGAACGCTCCCCGCAGGGATCTGCTTGGCCAACTCCCTCACCTCATTCCAGCCTCCACTCTAGTGTCAGCTCCTGGTGAAGCCTGCCCTGCCAACTCTGTTAATGCTGATTGAATACCTGCCTTCTCCAACCTGCTTGACCACCTTTATGATGCTCTATATCCCACCCCCGCTACCCCCTGCCGTAGCATTTATCCCCTTCTGGCATACTGTGTTATTTGTGTTTTTGTTTATAGCCTCTGCCTCTAGAATATCAGCTTCATGAGGCCAGGACATTGATCTGTTTTGTTCACTGATTTATCTCGAGTGCCTAAAACAGTGTGAAACACATAGTAGGTGCTCAATAAGAAGTGTTGAGTGAATTAAGGTGGACTCACATCATTGTCCCTGCAGCCCCTCATCAAGCCAATATGTGGCTGCGAGATTCACCCTCACGTGCACATCTGATGATAACATTCTTGTGCCCAAGAACCTTCAGTGGCCACCCACACTGGTTTCAGCTACAGCCTTATCACCCTCACAGTGTGGCTCCAAGCCCTCTTTCCAGATGCATGTCTCAGTCCCTCCCAACATGAACCCCATGTCATGGTCAAAAGCACTGTAGCTCTGAACATGAACATTCTTTGACTTCCTCTCCTCTGCCTGTGTCAGGGCTGAATGTCTTCTGTGGAATGTTCTCTCTACCTCTCCCTGATCGAATCCTTGGGTCTTCCCAGGACAGGTCAAATGCCACCCCCTCTTGGCAGTCCTCCCTGGCCTCTTGCTTGAAGCCCCCCTCCCATTCTCACTGAGTGAGGCTGATGCTTGTCAGAGCTCCCCAGGTGGGTGGGAGTCTACAAGTTTTCACCTCTGTAGCCCCTCAAGTCCATGGCCTGGATCTTTGTACTTTAGTAGGTGCACAGAAAAAACTGCATTATAAATAACCAAGTGAGAAGAAAAAACCTTTTACCTTAAAAGGCACTAGCTATAACTTGGGACTTGGCAGACTGGGAAGATCAGATTTCAAACTTCACTTGGGGTGTCAATTGCATCCCCCAGTGGTGCTCGTGAGTCGCAAACGGTTCAAACTACTTAGTGGGTTACATGCTTATAGCTGACCTGGGATTGGTGGACTGTGAAACACGGATGCAATAGAGACTGCATCCCCGTGTGAGTCAGTTAGCTTCACACTGAGGAAGTGACAGCTTCCTCCCTTGCCCTGGTCAATTTGCAAGGGGTCTCAGGGGTTCACTTCAGTGATGGCAAAACAGCACAATGGCCTTTTCCTTGTGAGAACGAGTAAAAGCCACCTTTACAAGGAGGGACGCTCATTTAGGAAAAAAGCTTGAGCAACTTTTATCCGCAAACAAATAAAGTAGTGAAGCAGCAACATAATCATAAAGAGTTGTGAGGTTGGAAAAAAGTCATTCGAAATCATGTTTCTGCTAAAAAGCTCCCACATTGTAGAATTCCGTTAACACACCGACTAACTCTGTATGTGCTGGAATTACAAGAGAATGGTACTGTGGTCTCAATGGACACAGCAGAGCTCATATTTGTAGGTGTAAAATTTACACATTTAAAGTCTAAACACCTTGGCTGTGGTCATCTTAGGGGTTTAGGCCTCCACTTGCAAGATCTTGGGGAATCACCTCTGAAATTACCCACTGATGGCAGCACAATGTTCTGAGCAGTGGCAGCGCCACTGAAATAAGCACCGGCCATCTGTGTGGACGACGTCTGGAGATAATATTCAGTATCATTGCGAGTGAGCTCTGGTGCGATTTTTAAGGAACCAGCCTTGTAAGGTTGTCAGGTTAGATTTCATTCATCAGATGTTAGATTTGACTCTGTTCCTCACACTCCACCGCTGATCACTACTCCACTGGAAGAAGCTGCCCTCATGGAAGCCACACTCTCTGTGGCAGAGGGCATTGCCCAAAGGTGGCTGCAGCCGTACCCCCACCCCAGTGCTCTTCGGCAGGGCAACCTGGCCATTCCTCCACCAAGAGGCAGAATAAACCTTCTCCTCCCCTTGAATCTGGGCCGGCCTTAGTGACTTGCTCGAGCAATGGCATATGGCAGGTTTGTTCGGGTATGTTGGGGGCCAGGCCGTGGGCAGCCGGAGTTCCTGCCCGAGTGTCTTGGAGACTTGCTCTTGGGTCGCTCCCTCTCAGGGCCCAGCCGCTACACCACGAGAAAGCCAAGCCACGTGGCCACGTGTGGGCGCCCAGGTGGCCACCCCCAGCCGAGCTCCCAGCCAGTAGCGAGCTCAACCACCAGCCGAGCGTGCCTCTTTGGACATCCAGTCAAACCCTCAGATGGCAGCAGCCCCAGCGGACACCAGACGGCAACCGTGTGAAAGACCCCAAGAGAGAACCAAACAGTTGAGCCCAGCCAACCTCCACAACTTTAAGGGATTAATTGATTATTATCTTAAGGTACAAAATTCTTTGATAGTTTGTTACCCAACAATATATAACTAGAATAGTTATCTGAAGATTTTAAAAAATTATTATTTTTTATTACCGAGCAAATTCGATGCCAAATGCTGTCCGGGTCTCTGTTCCTCCTCTCTGCTCAATGTGGCTGGCAGCTTCCACCACGTCTTTTACAGACCTGTAGTCATTCAGGTGAAATTCATGTACCACGTCTTCTCCATACTGAACAACTCCAACCTGTGAGTTAGAGGGGAGGGCAACAGGACATCTTGACCCCTGAAACACGGGCCTTTGGGGGTGAGGCTCCCTGGAGTCATTGCTCTGTCTGTGACTGTATATATAGGAGTTGGGAGGGCTGGGGACCTTCACAAGAGAGGGTGACTAAGCTGCAGAGTTCCAGGAATGCACGGCTGGCTTGCTGAGACAAGTGAGAGGTGCATCTCCAGAGAGCAGACTGTGATGTAAAGAAAGGCCTGACAGATTAAGTTTCTTGAGCATAGAACTGAAGCCCAAAATATTAGAAACAGCATGGGTGGGGGCCATGGCACTTTTCACCAAACTCCGGGGCTATGGTTCCTTAAAATTTGAAAGAGAAGAGCTTCTTTTATTTCTGAGGTTCATAAACTATAGACAATATTAACAGCCTCAAAATGAACAAAAAACCTTGAAGAACTACAGTAGGACTAGAATGATGAAACGTTACGGTTGGATGGGCCCAAAGAGTTTATTTGGTGCCCTTCTAATGCTGGATTTTCACCCATGATATCCAGAAATGATCTCCCAGGGGGGAAGTCAGTATTGTGGGAGAAAACGTACTCCCTGTTTAACAACTCTGTTGTTACAGAATCATTTCTTAGATTGACTTGCAACCTGCCACCTTGCAAGTTCTGTTCATTGGTCCTTCTTTGGCCAAATGCTGTGGGATGGGCCTTCCCCGTCTCGCTGGAGCTGTGACCTCCTCCCGTCTTCTCCCCCAGGTCACTGTGTCTCACTCAACAGGGCTCTGATGCCTGCTCACCTTTTCCTGTCTTCCTCCTCACTCTTTACCTGGTTTAAGCTTTTCTTACTAGGGGGTGTCTATCCCAGAACACAGCATGTGGCCTGTGAGGTGAGGCCTCCCCCAAACTGCCCCTTGATGAGCCCAGCAGAGATGGGTGTCCCGGGCCGCAGGGCACTGGGCTGGCCCTTACTGACACTGTCTGAGCATATGACATGGTGCTTCTCCTACCTCAAGGCAGCATCTTCTGTGGGTTTGGGGGGCCCAGTAAGGAGGGTCCCAGGGACACTCACCTGAATCTGCCCAGGGCCAATATAAAATTTCTTCAGGATGTTGATGAGAAAGTGCTGAACCTCCACCCAGGGGTAGATGCTGTTGGAGCCATCCAGGACAATGATGATGTCCATGTAGGTCTGGCACCCTGGGAAGTTGGGACACGGTCATGGCTTCAAGGAACCAGTGTCTACAAGTATGTGGTTCTCCAAGGGACAATGGAAGGACGCTGTTTTATGTGTGTAATTTCCTGGGCTGGGAAGCCATCTTTGGGCTGGGCATTTATTTGGGAAACATGAATGATGAGCCCAGACAGAAACTCTGGCTTGGCTCACCTGTTCTGTGCTAGCTGTTCGAACAAAGCTTAAATTAGCCTGATTGTCTCTCCTCTTCATCAGCGACTGAGAACCATCAGCTGGCCACTGTGTCTGAGGCAGCCATCCTGCCCAAATCAACATCCCATTACCATTTGTTCTGCTGAGATGAGCAGGTTAGCGTTTACCTCCCTTTCAGAAGGGTCCTATGGTGTGATGACTAGGAATGTGGAATGCGCATCAGACTGCTTGACTCCAGGCTTTGCTGAGCACTAACTGCGTGACCTTGGGCAAGTCACACAGCCACTCAGCATTGGTTTTCTCTTCTGTAAAATAGGTGTGATGACAGCAGAGGATTACCATGAAGAATTAAGGAGATGATGCAGCTAAAGGGCTGTGCACAAAGTAAGTGCTCAAGGAATCTTTGCTGATCTTATTTTGATTTTTTTTTAAGCAAACCACTTTGTTAATGTGTCATTGACAACAGCATGTCAATCTCTTGTCCCTTTATATCTGCTCTGAGCATAAAGGTTTCTCTATATTATTATATTAACACCAAATTAAAATGAATAATACAAAACAACCTAAGAAAACTAATAAAACATTGATATCATAACAACTGCAAAAATCTTTTAAAATCTAAGTAATTTATTTCTGTTTGTGATTGGTTAGGGCTACTTTGAAATAACACATGATATATACCATACTATATTATATCACACTGAAATATTAGGCATCTGCTTATTTTTACTGGAGAATTTTCGCACTGCTATAAATTCTACTTAATAGCAATATAGCAGGACCTGCTGTGTGTTAACCAATAACTTCTGCATCACGAAGGTGCAGAATGTTGAATTCAGTGTTCACCAGAGAAAGGGAGTGGTGGCTCTGAGCCCGGTGCCTGTCAGAGGCTTTGTGATTGGAAGAGCTTTTTAAAAGCACTTAGATGTTCACAGAGTCATCTCTGCTTTTTGGGAGAAGTTGTGCAGACATTCTTGTCTCACCTGCATGCCATGTATGGCATGATGGGCCTGTACTCCCTGGCCAACAGCGCCTGATAGCTTTGTCCTTTTTCATCATGGATTAGCTCAACACATGTGTGCTGAGCGCCTGCTGTGTACTGAGGCCCTGAGGGGTCTGGGCGGCCATGCAGGTGACCAAGACAAGAGGTCCTTGAGTAAGGGAACTTTCTCATCTAGTGGTAGGCTTCTTCAATTTCTAAGCCACTTTTATGATTAGAATGCATTTAGTATTCTGATCTCTTTCGTGCCATTTCAAATTTTTCTTTTTAAGACACTTTGGGAAGGAACTTGCTTTGGGTCTGTGATTCCGAAGCATGACTGAACACTCCGTTAAACACACACACACACGCACACGCACATGCACACGCACACGCACACGCACACGCACACGCACACACTCTGAGGCTTACCCCAGACCTACTGAATTAGAACCTTGGCAGAGGGTGCTCTGGAATCTGTATCAGCTCCCAGGGTACTGCTGCTGGTCAGCAGGTGAGGAGGCCCCCCCCACAGAAGGTTCCGGGAGGCTCAGATGGTCACGCCACGGCCCAGAAGAAACAGCAGCCCTTGGCGGTGACCGATGTCAGGCTTCCTCCCGGCCCTGCCTTTCCCTCTGCCATTTTGTGAGAATAGAATCAACATTTCTTCATCACCTAAAAGGACCACTTGCAGCCCCTCCTGGACTGCTGCTCCTTCCTCCTTCCCCGAGCACCGCTGTTCCATCCCTGACTGGGCCCTGTTGTTTGAAAAGAGGCTGCTGCCAGCCAGAGGTGCTAATCCCCTCATCCTCAGTAAAATGGGCAGCATCTGCATGGTGATGGTATTTAGCCCAGAGGAAATAGCGAGGCTGGTGCCAAGCAGTCTGGGCTTGGGAGGCAAGGTCTGAGCATCACTTCCCCCATATTTTCTTGGTGGGTGGGGAGTAAGTAGGAGATTGTGCATTCCGTGAGACTCTGGGCAAGCTGAGCAGAGCCTCCCGATGTCCAGGAATACTGAGCACATGGACTATTGCCGGGGATATTCCTGTTCTTGGCCCTTCACCTACAGGGCAGCTGCATTGGGTAAGATCAGAGGGCACCATTCATACTGCAGTCTGAACGAACAATTCAGCCCCCAGAGTCATGCAGTGCACAGCTTGCCTGCTCTACGTGGTGGTCCAGCAACAACATCTTCCTTACGCAGGGTGGGTTTGCCGTGAGCCTGCCTGGCTGCCAGGATTGTAGTTCATCTGCCTCCTCCCCCATCACTCTGGGTTATGACCCCCGACAGATTACCCAGAGAGCTGAATGAGCTAGAGTCCAAGTGCTGCTTTGTAGCCGCAGGTTAGGGATGATCAGGGCTTGGAGCGTCCCACGGACTGTCTGCCCAGCCTGAGTCTGCAGATTTGGACTTACGTTGGAGAGCTGGGGCCACGGTCTTGGAGAACCTGAAGTTTGAGTTGACTCTTGAACACATCCCTGTGGTGTAGTAGGAACTCCCACACTCATGGGACCAGAGCGGGCTGCAGGCCTGTGAAGTGCAGCACAGATGCCCCCCCAGTCAGCGGAGGGCCTCAGGAAGGGTCAAGGCCTGATAGCCTTTCAGCCCAGCCCCCAACCGCCATGCCCCAGATAGACATCCTCTATCTGAATATTAGTACACCAAGGATTTAGAAGGTCTTCTTCGCATCTAACTGAACTCTCTCTTGCTGTAACATGTGCCAATTCCCTTGGTTTCACGTGGAGAGAAGAAAAATGAATCTTAGAGTCCTCCGATGTTGTATTTGAAAGGGTGCCATTCTGCATCCCGTCATCTAGGTCTGAGATTCTCCTTCACCCTAGCTGCCCACCTCACCCACCACACAGGATCTAGAAAAGCCTTTTCATCCGTGGGAGTGGACCTTCAAGGTCACAAGAAAGGACTCTCTGAAGAGGTCACTTGAAGGTCCTCACTTGGCAAACTCCTGGCCTAGGTCCCGACAGCATGTCCGTTGCTCTCACTGGGGAAATTAAAAAAGAATGTCTCTGCTCTTTCTATGAAATTTGCTACCAAAAACATTGATGTCAGCTTGTCCTTTACTGGGCGATGAGTTCTCCTCAGTCAGGATCGTTACAAATGAAAGCCCAGCTACATGCCTCCATTTTTGTCCTGTTGCCAGGAAACCCAGGACTAAAAGTTATGCTGTTATTTCCTTTGTTTTGGAAGAGGTAATTATTCCACTTCCAACCTCTTTCTCTAACTGGCTTTCTTTTTTAACTCAGATTTTAGAAGTTTCATTTTATATGTATCCTTTATTGAAGCTGCTATAAATTAAATCTGGAAGTAGGGGTAAAAATGAAGAATGGGAGAGTGGGTAGTGGATGATGGATGGGTGGATGGGCGATGGGTCGATAGAAAGATCACGGATGGATGAAGGATGATGGATGGGTGAGCAGATAGATGATGGATGGATAAATGATGGATGGGTGGATGTACGGATGGATAGGTGGGTGGATGGGTAGGAAGATGATGGATGGATGGATGGACGGGTGGGTGGATAGATACAGGAATATACGGATGGAAGGATGGATGATTAGATGGGAGAATGAGGGGGTGGATCAATACAGAGATGGATGGATGGATGAATTAACAACAGTTGCTATTTATAAACTAGGGACTTAACCTGCCCAGAGGTCCCAGAGGTGAATCACACCATCCCTTTTGGGCCTTTATCCCACCTCGCGAAGCAGGTGAAACCAGGTTAGTAGAAATGTGACAAGAAGCCTCAGAGGGAAAAGGGAGCGCCCCCGAGAGGTCCATGTGTAGATAGGGCTGGGGGCTTGTCTGGGTGGGACGATGAACGGCTGCGGGCTGACTGTACATTGAGGCATCTCAGGACCTTCCTGGCAGAGCCACTATGCTCTGCTCAAGCTCCCGAGCACCCCAGTCAGGTCATTGCTCTGGTGTCTGGTGCTCCACACCCCTGAGGTCTCATCTGTCAGCAGAAGTGGACTGATGGACAAGATGAAGAGTGACACAAGCCATGCCCCATCTTAAAGTGAGTGGTGAATTGTATTGCATTTTCTGGGGGAATTTTGATCTGAAATCCTCTGATTTGATCTGATCCCCGAAAGGATCCTGGTTTGACCCCGTAGCGTTTCCCAAGCTATGGTGGCTCATTTGAACTTGGCGGCAAGATGGCCAATCCATTGCACTGCCCGCCCTCACCCACGGTGGGCAAAGCTTGCCTAAGCCGCCCAGGCGGGGCGCAGAGGCCTCCACGCACAGCCTGCTGCTGCCTTTCTGTCTCTGTATCATGTTCACTCATTTCTTATGGTCTCTTTCCCAACCAGGACATAGGCTCCAGGGGGCAGGGGGTCTGTGGACCACTGAGCCCCAGAGCCCAGCACTGGGCTCAGTACATTGCAAGTGCTCAAAAAATCTATCGTTTAATTGGATGTATGTTTCTAACACATCAGCCCAAGTACCCCCTCCTTTTTCTTCCTTGCTAAGACTGGTCTTTGCTTTAAAATAAAACAGCAGCCTCCTCTTGGAGGCCTTCCCATCTAATCCTGCACAGTCCAGGTGGCCTGTCATTTTGTGGCCCTTCCCTTGGTTGTAGTAAATCTGTGTTCACACATTTATGGCTTCTCTTCAAAGTCTTAGGGTGTGTGACGTGTCCTGTTTCTTTGATCAAACCCCAAGCAGAGCGTTGGCCTCCACCTCAGAAATCTGGCTCTCCAAAGAAAGGGGCAGGCCCACCACTGGACTGCTGGCTTTCCCTATTTATGCCATCTGCACATAAAAAGGTCAATATATTTTCCTGCCTAGATCATCCCCCCCCAAATATTTAGGGTGCAGCAGGCAGAACGGCACAGGCAGGAAGCTGCTCCCTGCATGTGTGTGTGTGGACAGCCAGCCTGGGTGACAGAAGGCATGTGGTGCCATGCCTCTTCCTGCCCCAAGCAGAGAGTCCGTGAGGCAGGAGGGGCCAGGCTCAGGGGGCAGGTGAGCTGTGGCTCTTACCAGGAAGCTGTTGTCCTTGGGGTTGGAGGCCAGGCTCAGGCCAAGGCGCATGTTGTCTTTCCGCTCAGACACGTTGGACAGGGTGACCCTTCCTGTGGTGGGAGGGAGAAGCTCAGCCTGCAGTCTCTTGCTGCCGGCCCTCTGCCCAGAGCCTGCTGCTGTCACCCGCCACCAGAGAGGCCAGTGGCAGGATGGGGCTGGGCAGAGTCCCTCCCGATTCCTCCTGCCCCTTTGGGCCCCTTGCCTGCATGTTGTTCCAGCCCTTCATGGTTTACTAAGGCCTTATCCAGATACAGTCTCATCATTTCCTCACCATCCCTGTGAGATGAGCAAACTGAGTCTCAGAGAGGCCAAGCAATCTGCCCAAGGCCACACAGTGAGCACAGGACAGAGCATTCCATCTCCATCTCCACAGGCCTTCCTCCTCCAGGCAATCTGTTATCAAAACTTACCAGTCCCGTGTCCTACCCTCTCAGGGCCTGGCTCTCTGCTTATCTGATAAACTGACATGATAATGATTCTCTCTCACAGGAGCAAAGAGCCAACTTAACAGGAGCGGTACACATGCAGCCTCCTCCAGAGGAGCAAGCTTATTCCCGCCTCAGGGCCTCGCTCGCCTGCTGGAATGCTCTGGCGCTGCCCGGCTCCTTGCCATCGGGCCTTTGTTACCTGCGTGGAGAGATCCTCCCTGGCCACCTCTCTGATGTGGGCCCCTCTCCGCTCCTCCCACTCAGCCTCCCTTGTCACAGCGCCCCAGTTCATTGCACTCCAATCCTGAGATTATCCTGCTTTCTCACTGGCTCCCTCATCGCCCTTCCCAGCAGAGTCCCTGGCTTCTTGTTCCCTGCTGGGTCCCATCCCTAGTAAGTAGCACAGTGCTTAGCGCATGTTAGGTGCTCATTAAAGGCTGGGGACATACTCGACTTGGCATGGGTCATAGGGACTTGCAGCTCACTCTCCTTACTGTACACAGGGGCCAGTGGAGGCTCAGAGAGAGGTTGTGAGCTCCCTATGGACACACAGCAAAGAAACTGTGCCATTCGAAGGAGAAATCCAGCCTGGCCTATTTTGGAAGCCTGGGCCCTCAGCGTGGTGACGCCTGGGATCTGTGAGCCTCCAGCCAGGCTCCTGCCTCTCTTACATTGTCCCCTCATTGAGGTCTGGGCCCTGGCTGTACCGGGGTTTGAACTTCTCACCCGTGGTGCTGAGGCAGATGAGGACAGCGGGAGCGCCCAGCACCATGTAATAGGGCAGCTGGCAGCTCTGGGCCCTGTGCTCTGGGCTTTTTCTTTGATGTGGGCCTTTTCATCCATCTGCTTATCTCTTGAATCTCTGCCCTCTTCCCCCACTGAGTCCCTGTGCTTCCCATATCTTCCCAGGGAGCCCCAGCCCACTGCTTTAGGAAGAGGGGGCGGGGGAACACCCAGGGTTCTTGTCCTTGGGGAGGCCAGTCCTCAGGCCAAGGCCCCGAACTGCAGCTTCTCTAAGTAGAATTTTGCTCCATTCTGGGAGCCAAGTGCTGGTGCTTGGTATTTGGTGCTTTGGAAAAAGTATAAGTGCTTTTGAGGAGTAGTGTACGTGCCTCTGTGGACACACACACATGTACATACACACACACACATAGATTTTATAAGCACTGAAAGATCCTTGAGGCTGTTCTCAGCATCTCTCCGATGCCTGAAAGCTCTTCAATGAGGAACAAAGCCTGCATTTTAGGAAAGCAGTGCTGTGCAGTGGCTGAGGGGTGACTGTGGACCGCCTGCTTAGAACCGTGGCCTCGCTACTTATCAAGTGGGTGACCCCAGGCAGGTCCCCTCCCCTCCACATGCTGTCATTCCTTCCTTTATTAAAATGGTTAAATCTCATATAATTATGGGAATTAAATGAGCCAAAATACCTAAAAGTGCTTAAACCAGTGCCTGGCATGTAGTGAGGTTATACAAGATACAGGATTGTTAGCCATTGTTATTATGTCAAAATCAGAAAGAAGGCAGGAAATGTTTATCTCCTGCTGGGAGAGGAAACCCCTTATTAGGGGCAGTAGCTGAATCAGAAAGAGCAATGGCTTGGGACCTAGAGGCCTGGGCATGAGTCTTGGATGGCCCCTTATAAGCTGCACAGCTATGGGAAGTGGCACCCTCTGTATGGCCTCAGTTTCCTCATCTTTTAAATGGGGCAGTGACATCAGCTGTGAAGAGCCAGGACACCGTGGGCACGGACATGCTGCAGAGCCTGTCTGGCCCTAGCCAATGGCTGGCCTCCTCGTGGGAAGCCAGTGGCCCAGTTACCCAGGTTGAGCTTGGTGCAGTTCCCATGGGTCACCGGACACTTGTACACGTCTCCTGTCTTCTGGTGGCCATTGGTTTCCAGTGGAGCGCCCACAACCAGCCTGGGAAGGAAAAGAATGTAGGTGAAGATATTGGGGGAGGTGCTCCGTCTTGGCGGAGGATGGAACCTAGAGGGTAGTGCTGAGGAGAAGATGGGGTATGGGGGAAATACCGGAGGAGCGGCCATGTGCAGAGTCTCAGACTCAGACCTTCACCTCCCTGGGGGTGGGAACTGGGCTTCCAGAATGAAGTCGTGGGACCTGCGGCCAACTTCAGGCCCTTGCCAGCATCTGGCAACTCAGAGATGAGAGCACCTATGCAAATGGGATGAGGCAGTCCTGGGGAGAGGGGGGCAGGGCAGACATCACAGAGGAGCTACGCCTGAGCTGTGTCTTCATGGATGGACTTGAGTTTGTTGAATGGTGGGAGGACGGTAACCGTGGTCATTCAGGCGGAGGAATGGTGATTTCGGAGCCCTCTGTTACTACCTGGGGTGGGAAAGGTGCTCATTCCTCATCTTACATGACAGTCTTTCTGCTGGCGGCCCAGGGGCTGAGGCGTGTTGTGTCACGGTCATTCACAGCTGTCGCCTGAGCCACAGCAAGGACTTGTTCAGGGAGGACGAGGCAGCCAGCCAGTGGGGCTAAGGAATGACCAGAGTCAGCTGCCCAGCTGCGGCTTCTGCCTTCCGCCTACGCCTTTGTGATCTTATTTGGAAAGAAGGGTCTTTGCAGTTGAAATTAAGAATCATGGGATGAAGTCACCCTGGATTACTCAGTGAGCCCCAGAGCCAATGATAAGCACCCTTATAAGAGACACAGAAGGGAGAGGTGCAGATTGAAGCGAAGGCCATGGGAAGACAGAGGCAGAGCCAGGAAGGATGCAGCCACAAGCCAAAGGATGCCCGGGGCCGCCAGAAGCTGGAAGAGGCAAGGGAGGATCTTCACCTCGGTCCTTTATAGGGGGCACAGCCCCACTGACACCTTGACCTTGGACCTCTGGCCTACAGAACTGAAAGAGAATGAATTTCTGCTTTTGTAAGCCATCTAGTTTGTGCTAATTTGTTATGTGCCCATTGGAAATGAATATTCTTGCCTACACGTACATGTATTGCTACAGAATAATAACCTGGCCCAGCCCTGCCTGCAGTGCTGCCTCCCTGGAGACCAGGGAGACCACCCCCACCCTGCCAAGCCCCCTCCATGCCTCATCTCCAGCTCAGCAAAGGGCAACACCATTGGGGGCGGCCCAGAGCGGCCCAGGGCAGTTGCTGGAACTCCAGTGCTGATGTGAAGTGAAACCCTGAAAGGGGACCAGCTCTCCCTCCCGTGCCTACCTGCTCACTCTGCCAGTGCCACCTGCCTCTGGTACATCTGGAACTCGCTTGGGTGGCAGTCCTGCTCTCAACCAGAACCGCCTCCTCTGCTCAGGCCTTAGTGTTAACAGTGATTCAAGAATGGAGAGCTCCCAGGGAGCTGTGCTGCAATGGCAGGAGGTGCGGCAGCACACACAGCCCTAGAGGTCTCCCATGCCCTAAGGGACAGAGAATAGACAATGATGGAGCTTGAGGCACCAGGACAGGTGAGAGACTGGAGTGAGGAGAACTTTCTGGAGCTGCCACTTCTCATCCCCAACAACACTGCCCAAAGAAGCAGCAATTACTCGGTAGAGAGGGGTCGGGCCTGGAGGTTCAGGCCACACAGGACTTCAGCAGCTTCTTGCGGTCAAATGTCCCCTCCCCCTGCGCTTACCCACCTCTTGGTGCTGTCAGGAAAGAGTGAGGTCTGAAGTGGGAGTGAACAGAGCTCTGTTTGAAATTAGTCTATGAAATAAGAGCCGAGGTCTCTCCCCTGGGGACCAGATAATGACAGATTCTAAATATATCCACTTATTAAACTGCCTATTTTTGACCTGCCGGAATTAATTGGACCCATAAAATCTGTTTGTCTAGACGATGTGATTTTTGGCCACTTAATTCTGTGAGTGATTGTGTGGTCAAGGCTGTTCCTTCTATGCAGCCAAAAATAAAATAATAAAATAAAATAAAACAGAGAGAGAGGTCCATAAGGGAGGCTTGGGCTCCAAGCTTGCTTTTCTGGCTGCTCTGATTTTCAAGGTCACCCTGATTTCAAGTCTCCCAGAGGGATGTTCCCCCCAGGATACCACTGCCTGGCAGTGAGTGCCTTCTGGAAAGTGCCTTTGAAAAACACCCTACAGGGCACCTCTGGAAGAATCAGGCACAGCAAGTTCTAGATTAGGGAAACCATGACCTTCTAGAAAGACAATCTCCATGTGCCTTCTAAAATACACCCCAGCAGTGGACTCCTCACAACACTTCCCATTTGACAGAGTGGAACTCTGAGCCCACAGTGGCCTACCTGGTGGGCCTCCCAACACAGGATGAGATCTTTGGGCTGAAATCCCAGGGCTGGGTCTGCATCCTGGTTCTGTCACCAGCTTGCTATGTGGCTTTGAGGAACCATTGACCTTTCCAGAACCTGGTTTTCCTGGCTGTGAAATGGGATCATAATTCTTGGGTCACTGTGGGAAGTCACAGTCGTCAAAGGCATTGAGAGACAGAAGGGGTTGTATCTAGGTAAGCTATGCACAAAGACCGGTGGCTTTCCGGAAGTCATGTGTTCTGCCATGGGCCAGCCTGTGGCAATACGGCAGTAAGTCCCCCAAGTCATTGTGGCACCAAGTTTACCTGAAGACTAAGCTTTGTCCTTCCCAAAGAGCAAGGCAGCCCCCTCTTTGTCATCTCCACTCTCCCGGACCTGGTCTCGGGGGGTCCTTGGTACTGCACGAGGTACAGTAGGACAGGGCTTACTGTCCCCCCATACTACAGATGAGAAGCTGGGGCTCCTAGGAGGGAGCTCACCCAGGCCCTGTGTCCATCTGTGGAGGACCTGGGACTAGCTTTCTCGACACTCTTCTTAGTGTTGCCCCAAATATTTCTTTGCCACGGAGGGAGCGCCTAGGCCAATCCTCTGCCACTCTTGAGTCTCGGCAGTACATGTGCCTGTCGGGCTTGAGGTTTTGAGGCTATGATTCAGTCTCACTACAAGAACATAACTGCCAAAGCGCAGGGAAATTGCGTCACCACCAAGCCCAGTCAAATTGCTCCTGGGGTCTGGAAGCCTCTGCGACCTCAGCCTTATATAGCCAGCTGCAGCCTTCGGGCCTGGTGGGCCTTTTGGGGGCCAGACATTGATCCTTCTGGTCTGGGCACCAGATAGCATGGCCAACCCCAAAGTTCATGGCAAGCATCAGACCCTTTCCACGGGCACTCACTGGCTGTGGGCACCCAACATTCATCCTGTGGAGGCACGGGCATCAGGGCTGCTGTGAATGGGAAATAGGTGGTGGGCTTTAGCCACAGCCTTGCAGAACCCTCCCTGGCTGGCCTTGCCATGGGAGGGGGCTTACCAAGGAGATGACCACCTGAGGAAGGCGGGACTTGGCCCTGCTGAGTGCCAGCAGGATACAGGCTATGAGAAGGGACCCCTGGCTCCTGACCTCACACCCTTTCCAACACGGTCCCATGGGGACTCATACTGACTTCTGTTTATCTTTGGCTCCATCCTTCAAGGCAATTTTAGTCTCGGAACATTTTAATATGCAGGCTCTGATCAGACAAAAAAAAGGAACATGTACCTCCAATGTGTGTTAATTTATATATAAATTACACCAGTGTTCAACAGTCAAGCTGTGTATTACATATGAGTAATTCTGTTTTTTCAGATAAAATAACCGAAGTAGAACTTGAATCATTTTATTTCTGTGCCCCAGCGCACTGTCCTGTACATCCCCAGTGTTGTGTACACACCCATCCATTTAAGATCCAGCACAAATTCTCACCTGCTCCAGGAAGCCCTCCCTGATTACTCTAGGCTTTCCCACAGAAATCGGCATGTGATCTCTGCTGCATGCTGTGGCCAGTGTTTTAGTGTCGTAATTCCCCGAGGGCTGAGAGGTCCTTGTCTGCCCTGCTGCACTAGCATAGGGTGGTCTGAAAGGCCCTTGGTAAAGGAAAACCCACCAGCTGCTCTGACCTTCTGCTGGACAGTCTATAGCAGCAGCTTCAGGAGCTTCTGGCTTCACCTCAAACCCAAAAGAAGCCCCCAGATTCAGTGACTGGAAAGGGTTGCTGAGAAATGGAGCATTTTCTGTACACAGAGGTTCCATGGAGGAACCCAGCTTCCACGTAAAGTCCATGTTGCTGGCTTGCTTGGTCTCCATTTCCCTCTTCCCAACAGTCCTCCTTTCTGTTTGGGGGATCCAGGGAATGTGGCTCCATTCCCAGTTCTAGAGACCAAGCACATACCTCAGGCTTGGCTAGTTTTTCCCCCTGGCTGCGGTGATGGAGTCAGGGCAGGCAGATGAATTAAGCCACCCTGGTGAGAGTGAATCTCAGGACTTTTGCTTGGGGCTCAGGGACCAAGGTAGTTCCTTCTCCCTGGATGCCACAGTAAGTAGATGCAGGCACTAGAACTGCTGGCAGCTATCTTGTGATGATGAGAGGTGTGAGCTGGTGCACCGAGTAGGGAGGGCTGAAAAAAGCAACAAGAGAAGGACCTGAAGTCCTAATGGTACTGTGAACTCCTGGATCAAACTATACCTGAAGCTTGCACTGCTGTTGGACTTTTCAGAGATATAAGCAATAACTGCTTTTTACTGTATAAGCCTGTTTGAGTTTAATCTTCACATATTTATAACTGAAAACATACTAACTAGAGTATGTAAAGAAAAAAAGGCACATAGTTAAAATTACCCTTAGAAATTCCATTTATTACCATGTTCCCAGAGGAACACAGCCTCAATGACTAATAAGAGAGGGGCAGATTTATGTCTGTCAGCTCATGCTCCATCTGGGGCATATATTGCATGATTGGTGGGTGGACTCACAGACATTATGTACATTATTTCTCTCTGGTTGTTTAATTAAATGCATAAAACTGCCCCCTGGCCCAGCCTAGTGGAAACAGAAATCCTTTTGTTCTGTGTGCATCCCACTTACAACAGCTACTTGGACAGGGAACCCTGTACTTTAGATGTTTCT